TCAATGCAGCGTATTCACCTGTAAAACACTTGTATTAGTTTCAAACCCGAGGCATGTAGTGCGCCCACAGGTAAAGCATAAAAAAGTAAAAGGTTACACTGGGTTGGTTTTTTTTTTTTTTTTTTTCCATTTTACTAATTTGTTCATTGTTTTCAATTCAGTCTTATTTTATTACAAAAAATAAATAAATAAATAAATAAAAATTAAAGTATGAACCAAACGGAACCTAAATTCTAAGAATGAAATCACCCGTCATCTTTTTACAGCTACAACGGTTTCGGAAACCAATATTTCTCTGAACTTGACCTTCACGGCTCAAATTAAAGCGCAATACCTGGCTGAATTTGACCGTTACTAATCCCCTCAGGTGTAGAAAAACAAAAGCAACAAAGGAAACAAAAAGAGGTTTCAATGATGGAAGGAACAGGACTACTAATTTTGTTTCAAATCTTGTAGAAATTATCTGATGATATCTCACGCATCCACTTTGATAGCATATGTTATAATTTTATATTACACACATGCATCCCAAATGTTGAATTCCTTTTTACCAAATTGTTAAGAGTGAATGGATGTTTGCCAAACTATACTTTAATTAATTACAAGTTAATCATCTAAGCAATTTGAGTGGAACTTCATCATTAACATTTATCAAAACCAACTAATCGCCCATAGATTGAAATTAGTGTAACTTCTACTAAGCTATTACAACATAATACGATTTATGCTGAAAAAATATATGTTTTGCAACACTTTGTAGTTAAAAATTAAAAATTTCTTGTAGTGTACATTGCCCACCCTTCTTCCCCTTAAGTCCAAATTTTTGTTCTGCCCTTAGTCAATAGTCATGAATGGAAGTCAAAAGAGGAGGACTAGCTACAACGTAATAAGAAATTGCCACGACCCTAAAATTCAACAATATTTTAACCCTTTAATATTGTTGGGCTAAAAGCCTCCAATTCAATCACACCAGTGGAAGCGAAATCAAATAATAAATCAAACACACAAGAGACAATAATTTAACGTGGTTCGGTCCAACTGACCTACATCCACGGATGAGAAACAAGATCCACTAGTTGTAGAGAATTACAAACATACATCATATCATCAACCTCACTCAACAATCAATACTCATAAGACACTCTCAATCTCCTCTAGTCCTATGAAGTATTCTCTACCCAAACAAACACAAACCCAAACCCTTGTGCACTTTTTCAACATAACCAAACACATACCCATATGCTCCCATACACCATACCTATATGGACCCTCTCAATCTCCTCTAGTCCACTCACAAACAAACACACACACCCATAAGACGTAGAGCCCCAATACTCTTATGGGGTGTCTATCCCACAAAACCTTACAACTCTCTTACATCTTTTTCTCATACCAAACCCTGTAAAGACTTCACCTATTTATAACCATACAAACTTGTCCATTAAGAATCCCTCTCCTCTTAGAATTCTTTTCCTGTAAGTCAAACTTGCCTATTAAGAATCCCTTTCCTTTTAGAATTCTTCTCTTGCAAATCAAACTTACCTATTAAGAATCCTCTTTCTCTTGGAATTCTTCTTTTGCAAGTCTTCTTGTCCATTAAGCAATATCTGACAAATCCCAAACAAATCTCTTATGGGATTTGAGTCAATATTCCCAACAATCTCCACCTTGACTCAAATTCCATCAATCATCTGTCTTCATGCTAGACATGCTTGGCTCCACCTACAATGAAAGTCTTACAATCATCTTCTCTTGTGTCTTCACGCTTCATACAAACCAATTCTCAATCTTCAAAACTTGAACTCGAACTCTTCTCTTGAATCGAACTTTCTGAACTTGCTTCTTCCCATGTCTCAAACCATGCACTTCCCACATCTCAAACTGTCAACTATTCTCATGTCTCGAACCATCGACTCTTCTCACATCTTGAATCTTTAACTCTTCTCATGTTTTGAACTTTCAGTTCTGATACCACTTGTTGGGGAACACCACAGCTCTGATACCATTTGTTGGGCTAAAAGCCTCCAATTCAATCACACCAGCGGAAGCGAAATCAAACAATAAATCAAACACACAAGAGACAATAATTTAACGTGGTTCGGTCCAACTGACCTACATCCACGGATGAGAAACAAGATCCACTAGTTGTAGAGAATTACAAACATACATCATATCATCAACCTCACTCAACAATCAATACTCATAAGACACTCTCAATCTCCTCTAATCCTATGAAGTATTCTCTACCCAAACAAACACAAACCCAAACCCTTGTGCACTTTTTCAACATAACCAAACACATACCCATATGCTCCCATACACCATACCTATGTGGACCCTCTCAATCTCCTCTAGTCCACTCACAAACAAACACACACACCCATAAGACGTAGAGCCCCAATACTCCTATGGGGTGTCTATCCCACAAAACCTTACAACTCTCTTACATCTTTTTCTCATACCAAACCCTGTAAAGACTTCACCTATTTATAACCATACAAACTTGCCCATTAAGAATCCCTCTCCTCTTAGAATTCTTTTCCTGTAAGTCAAACTTGCCTATTAAGAATCCTTTTCCTTTTAGAATTCTTCTCTTGCAAATCAAACTTACCTATTAAGAATCCTCTTTCTCTTGGAATTCTTCTTTTGCAAGTCTTCTTGTCCATTAAGCAATATCTGACAAATCCCAAACAAATCTCTTATGGGATTTGAGTTAATATTCCCAACAAATACGGGACGAACAATAATTCTTCAAAATACTATATTAACTAAAACAATAACTTATAATCATTTGGCGCATAAGATTATGGATATGAAGAATAATAATTATTTTATATTATATTTAATTTGCATTTAAAAAAATTGATAAGATTGTAAACAGAATTAATTATTCTTTTGATATAGAATAATTTAATTCTCTCAAAGTAGAGAAAATTATTTTTAATCCATATAATTGAATTTATATATTTATTATATTTTTAAAAATTACATTAATAATTTAAATTACATAAATTTTGAAAAAATATAATTTTAACCAAAATAAATTATCATATTCTAATTCTTGCACACATCAAACATAAAATAAAATTACATTATTTAATTTAATTCTACTCATAATATCAGCTTATTCTATCATATCATAATCTTACATACCAAATACATCATATTCCAATAAATCCAAAATATTTCATATTTGAATTCCTTTTTTATTCAACTGAATCATATATTTCTTTTTCTAAAAAAAAAAAAAAGTTTTAAAACCAAAAAATCTTGCCCCAACGTAAAAGAAAGGAGTCTTTAATTAAAAAAATTTTAAAAAATTGAGATTTAAGTCAATTAATTTATGCAAACATCATAAAACTTTAATATTCAAATTTCAAATTTTATAATCTCTTCTTTTATCTTCCAACTACATATAATCTTTTTATTGAAAAAATGAAAAATGCACATCTTGCCTAAGAATATTGAATAGCTCAGCCATCCCCGAAGTGAACATTTTCATTTTTTTTTTATAAATAAAAATTTTCATTCCCTGAATGTAGGTAAAAAAAAAAAAAAGATCAATCAAACTTATTGTCAAATTCAATCTTTGGTCAAGTTTCAGAATTGACAGCCCTAAACAACTTCAAATTTTTATAAGACGAAATCTAAAGCACTTGTCAGTTAAACACATTAACATGTACGCAGCCTTTTCAGACGAAACGATGAACCATGCATTGAAAGAATCCAAATTCCAACCGAGCCTTCATTGAAATTTCAATGCCTAAACCCTTCTTTCAAGGCAATCCCAAAGTCTGGAAATGTTCAAACATCCTAACCCCTCCCTTTTTTTCTACGTACTACTTCTACAAGCCATCCAACTTTTTTCACAACTGTGCTTTGACAAACTCTTCAACATCAGGAAATTTAAGTTTGCACGGACACCATTTCTTCATATTATTCAAACTTAAATAATATTCATATACGTGATTTTGATTTTTTTTCTAATTACTACAAAATTTTACTTTTTTCTTGGGATGGGACGGGTGGAATATGTTTGAAACCGTTTTAATTGTCATCGTCATATTAAATTTCAACAACGCTAATAGACATGTTTGAAAGGACTTATACGTAGCATTTATTTAATTTTCTTTTTTGTTGGCTTGGCAAACAAATTCAAGAAAATAATTATGATCAAATTAAGGAAATTGACTTTTTTTTTCTCCTTTATTTCATCAAAAAAGGAGGTCACAATTAGCCGCAAGGTCATTGGAACTCCACAAATTTATCTTTTGATTTCTCGAAAGCATGTACATACGTGTGTAATGGTGCTACAATAGGGTGGCAGTGCCTACCAAAGAAGTATAAACAGACGCAGAATTTTACTACGTAGTCGGAGAAGAAAAAAATTAAAGATGGTCCAACGCTCACAATTCGAATATGGAAAATATGTGTGTACAAAATTGAATTCTGAAACAATTTTTTTTTCTCCATTAGACCATTTATGGTCTAGACGAATTCTGAATTCTTGGCAATTTTGTTATAGTTAATCCTAAAGACAAATGGGAAAGGCTATTCACACAATGATTCCTAGGCACTAGGAATAAATTTTTCATATAATTGCTATAGGTTTCATTTGGTAGCGTGAGTGAAAGGATTCTCACTATGCTTGACGTTCTTTTATTACTATACCCCTACTTACTGGAAATGAAGATCCCAAACCAGCTATCTTTTTTTTTTTTTTGGGGGGGGGGGGGATAATTTCCCAGCTTCATAACTTAGTAGAATGGATAAATAAATAAATAAATAATTCCATGTGTTTTTCGATTTCTAAATTTATGTTTACTTCAATTTAGATAATATAATTTAAGCCATCTTCAAGTATATTCAGATTATTTCTTGTTGGTTCGTGCAAAAAATGTACGCTTCCTTGATTAGGCCTTCATTTGAAATTAGTAATGTGCCCCAGCCTATTAGGTTGGAAATGATGTTGAGACTTGAGACGACATACATGACCCAACAGTAATGCGCTCCCCTTATGTTCAATACATCTCATGGGTTTAACCACAACGATAATCTTTCTGAGTAGCACTCTTACAACTCTGGTCTTCAGTCTTCACTTCCTTAGCTCAAACTTACTCAAAATACACATTCCAGGTAACAAGTCTTCAATTCATGTACTGACCTCCCAGTTCTTCAAGCATCGATACACTGGAACTACAGTTCACTCGCTATAAAGGTTCGGATTGCTTACAAAGCCACCCAGATTCCCAGGGGATGGATTGCGTGGGCAATAAATCCAATGGGAAGAGGCATGATTGGATCTCAAGCAAGTGTTGCTTTTCGCGATTCTAGTGGCAGTATGATTGCTTATACAACGTTGATAACAAGTTATAACCCTTCAATGCAGCCTGGGGCGCTCAGATTACCAGTTCCCGATATCTCAGAAGAATTTGATAACAATGAGATGATTATCTTTGCTGTCCTAGGTCCATTAGGTGACCAAACTACTTTTAATCATGTCCGGCAAGCTGGAAGTTCAGTTTCAAACAACATTCCCTAGGTTCATCCTCTATCAGGTCAGAATGTTCTGTCATTGGGACTGCTCGATTTTCTGTCACCTTAAGGAAAATTTTGGAAGAAACCAGAATGTTTAATCCCAACTATAATGTTTTAAATCAGTCGTCAATAATGTTTAATCCCAACTATAATGTTTTAAATCAGTCGTCGACTATGTCATTAATCTGTTAATGTTTATGCCATTCATCGTTGTTTGTCATTATGGCAATTGCAAGTTTTTGACATTATTGATCATCTTCACCATCACCAATATCAAAAACCTTTACGTGGTTCTTCCTGAAAACTCAGCATTCACATTAATGTTCCAACTATCAGATTCAAGCAATTGCCATTCACATGCAATTCTAGTTTCTACAACTCGCTATTACTAATTGATGCTTGTTTTGCCAATATTTTGGCAGTCAAAATATCACCTTAAATATCCCAAAAAATGGCCTAGATCCTCTATCAAAATCATGAAGGATATAACAAATCAGCTCTTACATCAAACTTAAGAGTGGCCTTCTCAGTACTCTAACCAACACCTGTCTAACCTCCTTGGAAGTACCCAACTAAAAAGGAATTTTAAGTGTTTTTAGTGTACCATCCAACTCTAACCAAATTCAGCTTCTAAGCATGATTGCAAAGGATTCTAATGCAAGTGTTTCCTTTCACTAATAACTCAAGGGGAAAATAAATTACAGCTTACTATGGGCTACGTATGTGTAACCACATTACCAAACAACCGTGAAAGCTCCTCTTGCTTTTCCTCTGTCACCGGCAACTCCAATGTTACCTGTCAATCATGCAGGAAGGAAAAAAAAGTAGAAAAATTAAACAGGGAACATATAAACCACCCTTATTGACATTTATAATCAGCTAGTCTCTTAGAACCTTGGTTGGTCAAGAAACATAAGACTAATGTTTGCCAGGGTTCAGCCAGTGAGCACGCATGCAGTTCATGTTGAACATTAACTGTGCGGTGAAAAGTATAAGCATGATCCAACTACTTTAGATTCTTTTGAACAAGAATTTTCTTGAAGTTCTCTGCTATCCAATTAATTGTTGTCTTCTTTTTACTACCTTGGGCTGGGGCCAGACTATGAATACAAAATAGTAAAGTCATCAAATTAGGTCGATCTGCTACTTATAATTAATATATCTAAAGAGTAGGCGATTTTATCCCAATTATTGAACCTTAAATCCAAATAACAATTTTGGATAAACAGCATATGAGCCACTATACCCCATTCACAACCATATTCTTAGTAAGCCCGGTAAAAATGAGATCCTTATTTAAAGCCATAAACTAGTTTTGGTTATTAAAATGGCTTACATATGTAAAGTTAGATGTGGCAAATTAAGAGCAAAGACACTCCTAAGTTCCAATAAACCAAGGGACGGGTGTACCCAGCCACTTTTGATGACATAAGGAATATCTCACCTCCTTGAAGATTTCGCTATGAGAAACCTCCTCAAAGCCCTACACGAATCATAAAGGCATTATCAACCAGGATGAACAAGTATACAAACATATTGCATTTGCATGTGAATCTCTTAACCTCCATGCAAAAGCTTGGACATTAATACTTCACAATGAATGCCTTGCATGAATGTGTATAAACATCTATACAAATATATATATATATATAGATAGATAGATAGATAGATAGAGAGAGACCAATTTCTGAAACAAACTAAGAGAAGATCCATTTGATTCTCCAATTTTAACACGGAAGACATGGATTCCAAAGTTCTGAACTGCATAGGCCATCATCATCAAGACAGATTCTTTCCCAAGGCCCTTACCACGGCTATTCTAGCATAAGCAAAACAATAAGAGATAAGATTGAAAGGGAATATTTTTAAAAAAGGGCATTTAAACCAAGTGTGCAGTTTTGTCTATGAAAAAAAAAGTAGACAGTTTTTTAACCTTTCTTTTCTTTCGCAGATGATATATAGCACATAAAATAGAAGGACAAATGAACTAGAAAAATGTTTTCAAAAAATGTGAGTCTGAAATTTTCATTTATACACTCAACATGAAATAACGAAGCCTTTGAGACCAAAAGAATTTCAACTTATCCTTGCAAGCATTGCCACATTTAGAATTATGTTTTCCCCCAAACTGTTTTCAATCATTATTCATCCATCAAAAAGTCTTTACATTAGTATTATTTATTTACTATATGTGCTAAGAAAAGGGACTGGAGGCCACTGACAAATATCAAAAGGACCGAGAAAACTTTAGGAGAATTTATCAGAATGACCAAGGTTGTTCAAAAATTTATACGATATGATACGCGCGACTGAGCTCAAAAACCAGGATTACACAAGTGAATCAGGAAGGATAACAGCAAGAAATGAAAATCCAAATTGGCAGTTAACCTTTTCATCTGAGATATATGTAAAGATTTAGAGTGTTACACCTGCCAATTTGTCAGAATTGATCATTTTATTTTATTCTTTTTCTCCCCCCAAGAGTTGTATTATCTAATCAATCATGCTTCTAAGCACACAATACAAATATTTGAAAAGGACACAGACAGAAACTGGAAAAAATGAGATAATTCCATTCAGTTACAGAGGAGCAGACCAGTATGAACAGTATTTATTATTATTATTATTATAAAACTTGATCGAGGAAGATGCCAGAAAGGAAGAGGATAATTACAGTATGCATAAGCCCGACCACCCACAGTCATCATAACATGCTCTACATGCTGATGTCCACCAATTATTTTAACAATACCTCAACTCCACAGCACTCTTGCTCATAAATGATTCATCAGTATGATAACAATACATAAAAGAAGAAAAAGGCAACCAAAACCAATAAATTTTAAAAGAGAAATGAAATAAATATTAAAAAAAAAAAGTCATGTTGACTATTCTAAAAACACACAAATAAGAAGAAAAGATGGGGCAAGGCAAGAAGTTTCTCTCTACAATTAGATTTGTGTATTCTAAAGAAGTGAAAAGCAAGTACCTTTTTGGTTCAGCTATCATAATTTCGATCTCTGCCAATTGTGGGTCATCCAAATCATTCATGTAGATATTAACATCCCCAACCATGGCTGGATCATCATTTACCATCAGTCCCTCATAAATCATAACAGGCGAATATAACAATTCTTAAAACAATTTCTAAAAATAACATTAAAAAAAAAAAAAAACAAAAGGTAATCAACTATGAAGTTTAAAATTTTTAAAGTGATAAATTGCCCACAAAATTCGCTGCTATCAAGGAAGGAAAGGTTATAAATTTAGCTGACCTTCTACATGGGGATCCCCATGAACAAACTTTCCCTCAACCATCTCCTTATCCAAAACAATGAAAGTTTTCTCTGTTGAAGACAACAAGCTTGAAAGTCTTAATTAAAAACTCAAAATGCAAAAACAAAGCGAACCCAATTGAGTAATAGGGACAAACAATCAAAAGAAGAAAAGGGTTTTGTATAAAGAGAGAGAGAGAGAGAGAGAGAGAGAACTGAGAGGGTCTTGGTTCCAAGAGAGCTGCATATCGTATTCCTGTTGGAGGGATAGGGGCTCTGATCCGGTGGCTTGAAGGAGAGCAGGGTCCTGCATCCAAACATGGTACTCTGGGACATGTGCTTCCATGTATGGTACCATTATCACCTTCTGTCCTTCCAAGCTCACTCCCATCACTTCTGCTTGTCTGTTGTCCTCCGGCTAAACTCGCCTAGGATCAAACTGGGAGAGAGCCCAGCCAACAGTAGTTGTTGGGCTAGGCTTTTGGCTTTGCGATCTGGCAAGGGGTTTACACCACGCTGTCGTTTTAGGTTTTAACTGAAAAGATGCCCGCTGGTTGTCCGAGTGTAACTCACACAATTGGATAGTTACAAAATATGTAGGAAAAAAATCTTAATATGATCCTGCAAAATTATTGTAATCAAAATTAAAATATATACCATAAATTAATGATGACCATATGCATCTTATATTAAAGATCAATAATATAAAAATAATACGACCAGGAAAAATACGAAACTTGTTTAGTTATTATTAAAGCATGAAATGTATTATTGTCAACATAAAATACTTAGATAAAATGCTAGAATTTATCAACTGCAACAATATTCAAATCGAAGCCTTTAATGTAACATATGATTAATTCCAAGAATTTTGAATTCAAATTATTTGGGTTTTTGATTATTGATTGCTTAATCAAGTCAAGCTGAATTAAGTTGGATTCTAATAAAATTTTAGGGTTAATTATAAAAATATTTTTTTTTCAATTTAGTATATAAAATATTAAAATTATCAATTTAGTATTTTAATTTTTAATTATTTATTTACTTTGAATCAACTTGCTAACGAGATATAAATATTTAATAAAATACTTACATATGTCAAAAAATTTAGTTAATGTCATATCAGTAATTATCACGTCAAAATTAAAAGAAAATTTCAAAAAATTTTAAAAATAAAAATATTACCAAAAATTTAAAATATTGAAATATTTTTAAAATTTTAAAAAATTAAAAAAATATTTCAAAATTTAATAAAAATCCAATAAATTAAAAAAATTTTGAAATTTTCAAAAAAAATAAAAATTTTAATAAAAATAAATTTTTCTTAAAATTCAAAAAAATTCAAAAATTTTTAAAAATGCTAAAAATTTTAAGAAAACCCTAAATTTTTTGAAAAAATATTCAAATTTAAAAAAAATTGAAATTTTTTTTAAAAATTAGGAAAATTTTCAAAATTTCAAAAACTTATAAACACTCATTTTTGTCCGATTTATTTTAGATATAATTTTATTTTTTATTATTTTTTCTTTCTTTTTTCTTTCTTCCTTCTCCTTTTTGGATTTTTTTATCTAAAAGTCTTTGGATGTATTAAATGCACTGAATGCACCACCACCCCACAACCACCTTACACTCCTATCTAATTTGACAATGCGAAATTTAGCTATTAAAAATCCACTTGTAGCTTTGAAAATTCAATAAAAATTTTAAAAATATAAGATCTCAATCCTAGAAAATTTGAGATTTGAATTTTAAAAAAGGTTTATAAATAAAAATTTTTCCTATAAATCTAAGAGGCAAAAACCTTGCAAAGACAAAAACTAGTAAACCTAGAAAAAAATGAAACCCAAAAAAAAAAGAAACCTTGCAAAAAAAAAAAACTCTGTTAGAAATTAAAAAAAAAAAACCTAAAAGAAAAAAAAAAGGGTTTTTCTAGCCTACTAGAAAACCAAAAATAACAAAATAATAAAAAAAACCATAGCCCTAGTAACGAGGATCTCAACGTAAAAAAAAAAAGCAAAAAAAATCAAAAATCATTTTAACCAAAACTTATATTTTTTACGAAATCTTAACTGAACTTAGGATTTTTTAAAAATGAGTAATTTCAACTTGATGACCAATCACACCTTAACAAAAAAAATTGATAGTGACTCTCGATATTTAACGTTTAGTGATCAAGTCCTCAGATCAATATGTTATGACAAAACTGAAACATTTCAAAAATTATAAAAAATAAAAAAAATTTGAAAAATAAAAATGTAAAAATTTAATAAAAATAAAAAATTAAGAAATATATGAAAATTTCAACAAATATATAAAAAATTAAAATTGTAAGATTCAAAAAATGAAAAATTTTAAGAATTTTTAAAAATTTTATACAACTTTTTACTATTTTTAGATTTTTTTCAAAAAATTTAAGATTTTTGTATTTTCAATTTTTTAAATTTGTTGTAAATTTTTTCAATTTTAAGACATTTTTTATTTTATTAAAAGTTTTATTTTTTTGAATTTTCATAATTTTGGAATTTTTTAGATTTTTTATTAAAATTTTGAGACTTTTTGAATTTTTTAAATTTTCATAATTGTTATAATTTTTTAAAATATTTTTGTTTTTTAATTTTTATAATTTTTAAAATATTTTAGATTTTTTTTAAAAATTTAAATTTGTTAGAAAGTTTTTTAAAATTTTCTTTTATTGTTGATATAACAATTGATGAAATAATGTTGACTAAAATTTTTTGACGCACATTTACATCTTATTGAATATTCATATTATGTGAACAAGTTGACTGATGGCTTTAGTCTCAAATATCAAAGTAGAGGATAGAATGAAAATTCAAATACCAAATTGATAATTTTATTTTTTTAGTACCAAACTGACATAAAATGTATAATACATAAGTCATTTTTATATTTAACCCAAAATTTTACAAGGAGATAAAATTTTGTCACTTTAATCATTTATATATTTTTTTATTTGGTTAATGTTACCAATAGATTCTAAACTATAATAAAATATTTAATATAATATTTAAATTTTAAAAATCTATGATACCTAAACTATAAATTTACTAACTAATAAACTCAATCTAATTAGTTTAAAATAATGATATGTGGTTATAAATAACCCTTCAAATACTATATTTGTTAATAAATTTATAATTTAAATATTTAATTAAAATTTTTTAAAATTTAAATATTATATTAAACATTTTACTACATTTAAAGTCATACATGACATTATTTTTTTATAGTGCTATAAAATACATAAAATACATGATATTACTAATTAAATTTGGTAAGGAGACCCAATAGAAGCATTGGGTACATTTGTAAAATGAAACGGCAAAGTGGAAAGACTGAGATTTGATTATCACCAAATTTTGTCATGATTGTGTAATAAAATTTTCTCTTCGGCAACAAGAAAAAAAATCATTACTGAGAATAATGTTCTTAATTTTTTGCGTAAAAATGAGGTCACAACAAAGGGCGACCCAAAGTCAGGGATCATCTTTATTGGCGTGAGTGCAATAAAGAGGGCACCGAAAAGGGCAAAAAAAAAGCATGGATGAAAGAAGATCTGAAACCTGCCTCAGAGTGCAAAGCTTTCTGAAATTAAACTTTTCTCATGAGATTTTAGAATTTTAATGAGGTTTCCAATTGCTATGATTATTGTTCCTTTCAAATTAATCAGAGCATGAGTAGGGCATATCCACTGAAAGCTGCAATTTAACCTTTTTGCTGCACTGACAGTCACTAACAAAACATGGTTATAGATTAGCTTTAGTAATAATTAAGAAATGGCTCTCAACAATGATGAAAAGATGCTTCCAAGATTTATAAAGTGGAGAGGCCTACTGCTAAAAGTTTTAACAATACGGTCAAAAGAATCAGACATTCCAATTTTTATAGCTTAGCTTCAAAGCCAAGCACAGCACAATCCTGATAATTTTCAACCAAACCTCTTCCGATTGGAAGATTAATATTTCATTTGGATGCATGATGGGAGAGATTTAATCATAAGTTGAAATCCAGGATGAAGAAGGAATCTTATAATATAACAATTAAATATTCATGGTTTCAATAAGTTAAACTCTTCATTGAACAATTTTTTTCGAGCTAAGATCATAAGAAAAACTATCGCTATAAATTAAAAAATGAAAGGAATATATCAAAAATATTAATCAGGAATTTCAATACTGCTTATGAACAATCACATCCTAAACCTCTGTTTAGACATTTACCAAACTCAAAATTTAATAGTCTTAACTTCAACGCTAAGCACTTCCACAACATTCTCATAATTTGTTCAACAGTCATCATGACAGACCGCTTTCAATGCCCCAACAAAGCCTTTGGTGCCAATCTCATAAATGTCAAGAAAAGCTTCCAAACTACATTCAGGCCTCATCCATTCTTCTTCCACAACCATGATCTTTTTCTTCCTTTTTTTCCTTTTCTCTTTCCATCTAAACACTGCATCTTCGACTCATTGTAGCACCACCACCGCCACCAAAACCTTTCAAAAATGCATGACACTTCCTACCCAACAAGCCTCAATTGCTTGGACATTCCATCCCCACAATGCCACATTAGACCTTTGCTTCTTTGGCGCTTTCATTTCACCTTCCGGATGGGTGGGATGGGGAATTAATCCTGCATCCCCGGAAATGACCGGTACACGGGCCCTTGTCGCCTTTCCGGACCCTAATTCCGGTCAACTAGTACTACTTCCTTACATTTTAGACCCAACTGTTAAGCTCCAAAAATCCCCACTCCTGTCTCGCCCTCTTGATATCCACTTGATTTCTTCATCAGCTACCTTATATGGTGGCAAAATGGCTACTATACACAATGGTGCCACGGTTCAAATTTATGCCACGGTAAAACTTGAACCAAACAAGACCAAAATTCACCATGTTTGGAACAGAGGACTCTATGTCCAAGGCTACTCCCCAACCATCCATCCGACAACTTCTAATGACCTTTCCTCCATTGCTACGTTTGATGTCTTGTCTGGCTCAGCAGCTACACAGCACAACAACATTAATATACTCAAACTTGTTCATGGAATCATTAACGCCATGTCCTGGGGCTTATTACTACCAATGGGAGCTGTCACAGCACGCTACTTGCGCCACATACAAGCGCTAGGACCTACTTGGTTTTATGTTCATTCAGGAATCCAGTTGTCAGCATTTTGCCTTGGAACTGTGGGATTTGCAATTGGGATCAGGCTGGGTGATATGTCACCAGGAGTGACGTATGGACTCCATAGGAAGCTTGGGTTTGCAGCATTTTGCTTGGGGGCACTACAAACACTTGCTCTGCTGTTTAGGCCTAAGACTACACATAAATTCAGGAAGTACTGGAAATCCTACCACCATTTTGTAGGGTATGCTTGTGTGGTAATTGGGGTGGTGAATGTTTTCCAAGGCTTTGAAGTTATGGGAGAAAGCAGATCGTATTCTAAGCTGGGGTATTGTTTGTGCCTGTCGACATTGATAGGCATATGCATAGCTTTGGAAGTGAATTCTTGGGTGATATTCTGCAGAAAATCTAAAGAAGAGAAGATGAGGAGAGAAGGACTGATTTCAGGATCAGATAAAGGTAGTGGAATCCACAGTGGAATGCACAGTGGAATCCTTAGTTAAGTAAAGTACACGAAAATGAAAATGACGGATTAAAATGGTTCTCTAAACATCCCATTTGGGTAAAGGCCAACAAAGAAATTCCCATTTGGGGTTAATTTTTTTATGTCAACTTTCAAGTCCAATGTTCTAAGGAATTTCTGGATGCATCTTTGAAACTACAGGTTTTTATTTCTTGTGTTTGCAGCCAAATTCACATGATAAAATATGTTGCTATGTTCATAGCAACAATTTTTGTTTTATGCTCTATGTAAAGTAGAAGCCAATTTTGCAGATCAATGAGAATTTCTGTTTCTTCAGCAATCTGTATTATTTTATTTGAATAAAAAACAATCCTAAGAAAGAAAGCCTGTAAACATTGGGTTTAGAATTCTGAGACCACAATCTCAAAAAAATTAAAGGTCAGTCCAATTTTTAAAATGGTCCTGGGCCAATAAAATGGCTACAAATAAGCCCAACCAGAAAAGTAAAAAGCCATTTTGTCAAGAATGGGATTCGAACCCATGCCCTTTCGGACCAGTACCTGAAACTGGCGCCTTAGACCAACTCGGCCATCTTGACGTTGTAGCAATGTTGCAACACTAATAGTAAATAACAGCTTTTTTCTGCCCAAAGCTTCCCAACTCCTTGAAACCAATTTTTGGTCACTGTGCTTTAGCAAACTTCTCTTAACTTATGTTAAGTTTGAAGTACCAACAAGCAGTACTGTTGGCATCTCCGAGGTGTACCTATATGCACTTATGATGCTCCAGTAGCTGATAAGCTCTTAAATTTTCTAAATGGGAGATTCCATTGATCATAATCGACCAAGGACAAAGTAATGTTAGTGCAGATCAGGAAACTCTAATTGGTTCTCCACAAATTTAACTGCCAGCGGGAGAAATACACGATTCAATGTCATCATTTTGCCTATTTAAGCAGAACAGAATGTCGTTTAACAACAGTTATACTTTGATTCATATGTCAAGAGCATGCAGCAATATTAATGCAAACTTACACGACCACCTTTTATATGTGTTAGCATACCTTTCTTTTTCAGGGGGGCTAATGGAAGCTATCTCACGAACTGTTTCATTGATATAAAATATGAGCAGTAATCATTTCGTTTCAAACAGGCATTAATAATTATGTGAACTGCATCTGCACAGGATGTTTTTGGCCACAGCTTGGATGGCCGAAATTGAAGATGAAAAGCCATGCATCAGTGCGAAACAAGCCTTAAAGAAATAAAGAGAGAGAGAGAGAGTCAATTATGCTTCATTCACGAACAAACGATGACAAGATAATAGGTAAATTACATGGGTAAAAACTGTCTTTGTAAGAACATTGCAATCACGAATTCGATCGATCATTAACATTATTTAATTGCAAACCCCGCCCATTAAACGACATAAAAGTTGAAACATCAACGGTGGATGCGGTTATAATCTAGTCAGCAGCATCAAAATGATTCAAACAAAACAGAAGTCAAGATGCCTGCCCTACCTACATGTTCCTCGGTAGCGTTCTCTTATCACTATCCGCGCTTGCTCATGCATTTTTTCAGGGTCAATGGGCAAAGCTCTTTCAAAGGTAAAGATTGTCAGCCTAATGCCCCACCCCATCAGTTTTACCCCATCAATTATGGGTTTCCCTCGTGTAGCCTTCTAGGGTTAGAATTTAACAATTTACAGCCTGTAAATTAATTAATTCAAAATTAATTGATCAAAACCACATTTTAGAGTGTTGCAAAAGGTCAGAAAGTTGGTGATGTTTCATCCACTTTAGCTCTTTCAACTTCAATCAGTAACATCAAAGAATGAACTACAGCAAAACATAGCAAATGAATGCAGCAGGCCAAATGGCCTCCCTTTACGGTGTTCCCATTCATCATAATATAAGCATTATTCATAGTGGAATGCATGAGGGAGCAACTTGTATCATGCAACATCTCCAAGGCATGCATTGAGTGACCCTCATCCAAACAGGCTTTGGTGGAGACAGAGATTGAGATAGACAAAAGACTCTCAGATCGTTAATTTTGAGTAATTTAAGCATCATGGTGTGATATGCTTGGACATCAAGAGCTCGTGTAATCGTCTAAATGATTATGGTATTTGATTCTTGCAATTCTTTGGAATTATCCCAAATTAAAAAAAGGAGAAATGCGTAGAGGATATAATTGTGCATGGACTCGTAAGCCTCCGAAGAAAAAGATGGAGCAATTTCATTAAGGTCCTTGCAGGATCGAAAACATTTTAAATATATCGTTTCAAAATCGTATTATTTTTAAATGTTTTGTTTAGATGAATATTTTTAACAGGAAATTTAGTTTATTGAAATTTAATGAGAAAAATAATTATAAATATAATAATATTAAGTATTATTAAATTTATAAAATTGTATAAATATTATTAATAATATAAAAAATTAAATATTAAAATTAAATAAAATGAAATTTTATTTTTAAAATTTTTCATTTTCTATGAACTATATAAAGTGAGATGAGATTTGAAAGAATTTAATAAAAAAAATCACCTATCTCATGTAGAAACAAGGTTCAAGTACACCTATCTGTCAGGATAAACACAATTGCATACACTTATTATAATGAAATTTCAATGCACCTCAAGTTCTGAAAATTTTTTTAATTTTAAAATTCATTTTTTCAATGGAAATAAATAAATTTATTTTGAAACTTTTAAAAAATTCGATTGAAATAAAATCTTTCTTCTAAGTACCAAGTCCAAATACACCCCAAGACTGAAGCATATTAAAGAGTGTGATGTCTGAACTTTGCATGCGGCTAGCAGGCCCGACTGGTGGTTGTACAAAGTAGTTTCTATGCATGGACCAAGCAAGGCATTTGAGAAACAAGCAATTAAAACGTGGAAAGAGAGCTTGGACCACATGATAATGCTCAGTACCTAATGAGAGTGATGCCAAGTCCAAGCGCCTGATTCAAATTAATATCATAAACAGCTGACATAAAACCAAGCACATGTATACATATAATAAGCTCAAACAATGCAATGAGATGTCCAAAACATTGTGGATTCCACTTTGCTTACCAAACTGAATGCATTATTATGCTCAAAATCATCAAAATACCACTAATTATGAACATGGCTTGCATATCTAGTAGTCCGAGAGTGTATTAGATAAAAAATCAACTCAAATTATCCATTTCAGTATTTCACAAAGAAAATTTTTACCTGTTGCACAAAAGTTTCATTGCAGAAAGAATCAGGCATATGTAGTAACTTATTCAGAGGGACCCTAGATGGGTTTCCCCTTTTAATGTTTCACACTAGTAAATCAACAAGAACCTCAGGTACAATCTGGCTTAAAGACAAACCCCAAATAATGGAAGATACGGAAAAAAGAAACAAAGCATACCTGACAAGAAGCCATAACTTTGCCGAAGCCATTACAGAACATAAAATCTAAGGAGAAAAAAAAAAGTCTATATAGTAATGTATCGCAGCCTCGCATGAGATGCATGATACATTTCTGACTATATCCCGCAATCTGATTTTACATCTCACTCAAATACCCAAAAAAATCCTGAAAAGGTAACTCAAAACTCAAGCCTTAACACAAAATCCCTTGTGATCTCTAACTCTAAATTTAATTCTCCAAAACAGGCACTCCAGTTAGCTCTAGATAACCAACTTTCTTTTAACAGAAACATATTAATGAGGGAAATAAGCAGAATTCACCTGCTTTAAAAGATTATCTTCACCTACAGTATCATGATAACCAAAATAATCTTCTAGGTAGTGATTCCTGAACCAACAGAAAATCAAAATGTGTAAGCGCAGAGAAACCAACTCAAGAATACTGAATTGATAACAATGTTTTAGAAAGTACACTAAAAAATTAAAAGATTGCTTCTTCAAAGGAACAAGATAGTATTAAGAGCAATTACAAGTGGCATCAGAGATTTCAAACCTAAATTATAATGAAAATAACAACATTTTCCAGTTGGTGAAGTAAAATCATTGATATGATACACATCAGAGGACAATCAACTAATTTATTGTATCAGCAGGCAATCAAATCTATGACCATAAGGCGGAAAAGAGCAATCATGAAACTCTGCACATAACAATAAATCGATAATATAGATTCTAAGCCTATGACCTTCTTAGCTAATTAGCAGATTCTTGTAGAATTTATTTTATCGCATACTCTGATACCATGCTTGCCTCAGGCCAAGAGATCCTTTTAGCATTGTTAAAAGAATTTTTGCTCACCAAAGGAAATTCAATGCTAGAAGAACTTTGGAATTGCCAACCAGGACTGTTAATCAGGCCATTTGGATAACAATCTACTTGATTGACTCCTTGTATAAGATTCTTGAGTAGTTCTTTCCATAGATGACCATAAATGAATGTCTCTTTTCAAAACCAAATGTCAAATGATGTTTCCTTTGTTTTTTCCTTCCTTTTCATTTTCCTTCTTTTGAATCCAATGGTTGGATATAGGAGATAAATCCTTCAAATCTATAAATGCCCAATTGTTGCTGAAGCCCTAAGTTAAACTTTAGAATACTCCACCTATGTGCAATTAGGGTTTACATTTTGGCGCCTCTTTTTCTCCAGTGATAGCAACGCCATAACTTAACTTCTAGATTGGCAGGAATACCAAATATCCAATGCTCAACTCAATTATATTTATTTCTACTCCTATTACTTATAATTCATTTAAATTTTCATGCAAAGTAAATAACAGAGCTAGCAAATATGAAATGGAGTCCCATATCGACTGATAACCTAACCATTACTTCATTAGAGGAGGGATCAAGTAACACCAGTGTAAAACTTTTTAGTTTTACACCTTTTCTAATAATTGATTTCAATAGATCCAAGAGATGAGATTAAACCAATTTTTTTTCTATGTTTGACTTGTCTCTCTCATCCCTTAGATCTATTGAAATCAAGGGTTAGAAAAAGGTTTAAAACTTTTTAGTTTTGCGCTGATTTAAGTTGATCCCTTCTCATTTCATTATAGTTTTGTTAACTTAATACAAATTTCACAATAGAAATGTAAAAGCAAAACCAAAGCCACCTTGCATATCCAAAAAAAAAAGCCACGCAATCCACCATAATATGATGCAAGGCGCAAATGCAAGTTGGCATGTGTTAGATTCATATATAGGCTAAAGTATAAAAGTATAACAATAATCGGTTTAACGTTTTTATAGTGGCTCCCTTAAGTCTTTGGAGTGTTCTACAACATTATGCAGACAGCAGCATTCTTAGAGACATAAGGTACCTTCAAGTGCTGGGAACTTAGACACAAGGCACTGGAAAAGCATTCACCTTAAATGAAACAAATGCTGATTTCCAAGAACAAATGAAAATGTATATTCAGGTTTTTTCAACAAAAAAAAAAAAAAAGAAAAAGAAAAGTAACAATGTAGCACTAATTGCTTGTGAACCTAAGTCTATCCCAAGGTTAACATTTTTCACAGTAATAGAGGCAGTGGATAATCTTACATTGTGGAAGCCCTTATCCTAAATTTGACAGGCAGCTCAATTTCTAACAAAGCACATTGACTAAGTTACATATTTTTCCTATTCTAGTAAAAGAAGTATATAAACAAAATGTATTATCCTTCTTTATTAATTAAAAGAATGGTTTATAAACAAATATAACTTGAAGATACATAAAAGACATTGACTAAGACATCCCTCTAATTCGCCTTCTACCTTTTGAAAAGGATCACTTGACTGCTAGTATCATTAGGTGCAATTTTAGGGATGTCAATAGGTAGGGTATGGCTAGGGTAAAGCATTCCCCATCCCCATCCTCGAATTTTTATATTATACCAATCCCTATACCCATACCCAACAGGTATTTTAAATTTATCCCTATTCCCATCCCCATCCCCATCCCCATGGGTATTTAATGGGTATGGGTAATCCCCATACCCCTAGCTTTTAACAAAAAAATAAAAACTAATTTTTTTTTTAGTTTTTTTTATTTTTATCTTTTATATTTAGGTAATATTTTATAAATATATATTAATATATATTTTTTCAATAAAAATATATTAATTTTAATTAATCTAAAATAATAATTTATATTATTTAATAAAAAAATCTATATACTAAAAATATATAAATATATATGTAGGATATGGGTAGGGGACGGGTGCTATATTACCCATCCTCATCCCCATCCCCATACCCAATAAAAATTTAAAATCATACCCATTCCCATCCCCATCCACATACTCACAATGTGATACCCATCTCCATCCCCATTCGGGTAAGGAATCGGGTTCCCCATTGGGTACGGGTAAGATTGACATCCCTAGGCGCAATTACAGGTTTTGTATGTGAGTGCATGTTTTACAATGGTTGGATACAAACTAATGCTTCTTTGACAACGAAATATAACACACTTAGATCTCTTAGTAGTAACTATATCATGTTTTCAGGACCTTAAATAAATAAAAGATAAAGTAAGAAGTGACATAAGAGCCCCTTAAGCAAATTATAGGGTCTCAATCCGCAAAAAAAAAAAAAAAAGACTAGAAACTAGTGACAAGTCAAGAAAACAGAATGATACCCCTCTGTCAATAACATGAGAATCGCGGTTAAAGTTCATGATCCATGTCATATCAGAAATACAATGCTAAATCTAAATGTGCAAGGCCCAAATTCAACTCATTTGTATTTGCCATTCAATTTCCGATATCCTTCTTCTCTAAGCACTTGATTCATTTTATGCTTAGAAACCTGATAACAACACAATAAAGTGGAAAAAATTGTAGAGTAGGCATTTGACCACCAAACCTAGTTAACATGAAAGGACCAATGAAGTTTAAGGATAAGAGGAGACAGCAAAAACAGTTGCTTCACTTGGCTAGCCCAAAAAAAGGAACAAAATTTCTAAAATCAAAAGACTAAAAACCAAACTATAGAAAGTGGAGGCAGAAGAAATATATCCTTATAAGACACTTATATTCTCTACATAAAAAAAAATCTAAGACTTTGTATCTGTCACAAACAGAAAATAGCAACATACGATTTGCATGAAGAAGTACATAGAAGCATGGGAAAAGTTCTGAGGAGAAAAGAATTGTTCAAAGACAATCATGTTAAGGTGCCGTGAAAAATGACAGTGAAAAAACCTTAGAGCTCTTGCAATCAGTGGTCAAGGAATCATGAGTATGGTGTTTGCCTGTATAGACTGATGAGAATGTTACCTATTTCTTTCAAGATGCTTATGCAAAACTATATTTTCAATAAGTGTTAGACAATTCTGCAGTTCATACTTTATCACATGCAATCACAATAGAATGTCTGTCCAAAATCATAAATTGACACATGCACAATAGCTGTGTGCCAGGTCAAAGATTTTAGGAGTTGCATCTGAAACCATATATTTGCATCAATACAAGACTCAAATGTGTCTACAAATCAAATTACAAAGTGCAACTAGTATGGAACTTCCACTTGGAACATACCGAAACTTAAAAAGTATGCTCAAGCAGAGGCCAAACTTCGTATATCTAGTGAAGAGGTTTGTTACAAATTAGAACTATGCTTTAAACTTTAAAAATACTGAAGATATATCAAGGAATGAAAGATTGATCACAATTCAAGCAATGATAGGCCTAGAAGATTAGAAAAAAACATAAGACCGGCATTAAGCTGCTGAAAAGAAGATGAATGACGTAGCACAAGTTAGAAGGAAGGATAGGAATACTGAAGAAAGGGGGAAATAAAGAAATATAGAAAGAAATAGGCACAAATAAGGAACTTATAAAAGAATCTAATTTTAAGAAAATTATATAATCAGAAGGAAGAACGAGTAAAAGAATCTAATTCCAACAACTGAATATCTCAACAATCCATAAAAAAGAAAACTCTTAAGAAAATTATAAAATTAGGTATTTATAGCTTACAACCTATAAATCCTAACATAAATACGAAATAATAAATATAAAACTAAAAGTGCTGCTAATTCTACAAAACAATTAGTGCATTCAAAACCTTTCACTTGGGGCTTAGACATAGGAAACACTGGGTCACTAGCAGCCAAAATAACCAAATTCAACTTGTAAAAGGACAAACATGTTAACAACAGAACTACCAAACAATAAGATAGGTGAGAAATGTTTTAGTTTGTCTGTGCTATTGTTACTCTATAATAAGTACCTTTGTACAAGACAACAATTATTTTCACACAACAGTTTCAACATTAATATCATACCTTAAAATTTTTAGTAGCATTAATGATTCAACAAAAACTTCATTATCTCTTTTTCTCTTGTCCACTCTTAGAAGATTTAAAGATTTATTAAAAGCTACCAAATTATATAACCAATTTCAGAGATGTTAAAAAAACTGTCAAATGTAAATGATATGTTCATTATGTTCAAAAATTGTTTATCAATCTCGACTGGCATAGTTTTTCTAAAACTAGCAAGCACATCATGCAGCTATTAAGAAACAAAAGATCATATTACTGAGAGGAATGTGCTGTCAAATTTAAGATCTAGCCCAAAGAAAGTAGCTAGCAGAGTCCTCATATGAAAGCTTGTAAGGTTCTTTTTGTTATGCTTCTACAACACTTAAACAAGATTGTTCTACTAAACTCCTATGAAATGAACATCAGTAATAATTCTTTAAAACATTTACAGAAAATTTCCTCAAGCTGAAAATCATTTACAGAGAGATCTTAGGATGCTAAGTAAGAAGTCTTACCTCTATTTGCTTGCCTCTTGTTAACGCTATATCCACCAACATAACCAGGAGAACTTTTACCCGAAACATCCGAAGTGGCACTACCAATTCCATAGCGAAAGGAACCAGAACCATCTCGCTCAGATGTTGATGATCGCCAAGTGTTATCCCCATAAACTGAAGCACCACCATAAAGGTCTGCAAAGGCTTCATCATAACCACCATTTGATGCTGCATATGATGATGTTGGTGCCACATTGGTCCCACTGTTTCTCCCATAACCTGCTGTTCCCAACCCAAAGCTGTTATCACCACTTCCATAGCTGAAATTGACACTATTGCTAGAAACATTATTCTCTCCACCTTGACTGGAAATTGCAGAAGAACCCCAATTAATTCCACTATTTCCAAAGGCACTTCCTCCTATACTTCCACTTCCAGATCCCATATAAGCACTGGAACTAGCAGCATTTGTGTTGTAATTAAGTCCCCCACTTCCCCAAAGATTCCGGGTCACTGAGCTGAAAAAGGAAGTATTACCTCCATTACTTCCATCATACCCAATAGGACTACCAAATCTATTTGCATTACCAATATAGTAAGGGCTCAATCCCCGTCCATAGTTCATATTACTACTAAAATTTACACTATTTCCAAAACTTGGGTTCAAACCTGGGTCAAAGTTCATGCCCATTCCATAACCAGAACCAAAAGGAGGAAACCCACTTCGACCACCAGCAACTGGACCAAATCTACCATCCATCCTAAGTCCATAGCCTCCAACACTGCTTGGAGTATATCCCTGAGTGTAGCCACTAAGAAAGCTGTTGACCCTATTCAGACCATAGTTATATCCACCAAGGGGACTACGACTGGGACCAGGCGATAACTCTTTGGGAACTGCTCGTTTAACCTCAACCATTTTACCATTCAGTTCATGGAATTTTTTTAGCAACACCTTGTCCACCGCCTCTTCTGAATCATAAGTGATGAATCCGAAACCCCTAGGCCTTTGGGTGTTGTGATCATACATCACTACAACATCTGTGATATTACCAAACTGATCAAAATACTTCTTAAAGTCACTCTCTGTGACCGTAGACGCTAAACCTCCTACAAATATCTTTCTAGTGCGGCCTGGACCAGGTGAACCATGGATGCTATTAGTGCTTCTACTCATAATGTTCTGGTCATCCCTAGGAACTGCCTTTTTTGCCTCGACCTGAGCATAAGTAACTCAATGATGAAAATAATCTTAAACAGCACAAACTCTTTCAGCTCAATATATGCAAGTATATCAAATTAAGGGAATTACAAACATAACCAATATCTTTCAAAAAAAAAAAAACATAAATAAGAGGAATCATGATTACTCTTGGCTCAATTTTGAAATTTAGTTGGACACAGAACCAGAATTATACGAATTCCTGCAATTACAATATCAGAATCATAACTCCGATAAGGAATTCAATTTTCAACTCTTGCTTCAATAAGCTAATAGCATCAATGAATAGTACATTGCACAACATTAATCTCAAAAGGTGTGCTTAAAGATCAATAGCTTACCATCCTGCCATCAATATTGTGTTTCTCCTTGATGACTCTCTCAGCCACAGCTGGGTCAGAGAAAACAACAAAACCAAAACCACGGGCACGCCCAGTGGTCCGATCCTTCATGATCACTGCCTCTACCACTTCACCAAAACTACTGAAATACTCCTTGAGACATTCTTCATTGGTGTCCCAAGATATCCCACCGATAAATAGCTTTCCATTCTCAGACATCTTTTTCTACATTCAGAAAAACTAGTTCAATCAACAGAAAGTCCAAACTATCCGCAAATGCAAGTCAAATACACACTTTAACATAAAAAGGCCAAATTCATTACTGGATCCAATGCAAGATATAAAAATTTCATTGCAACAATAACAACAGTAGAGCAATCAAAAATCAATTCTAAAATATTCCTTTTCGGTGAATCAAATTAATAATAACAAATCAAAATTGTGTCGTTTATTGATTATAGCAATCCAATCGGAATAATGCAGATACAATTCAATACCTTCTATTTTAACAACAAAAGTGTAATCCGATAGAGAATGAAAGTTTTCTCTCTGACTCAAAATTTAGAAACAAACGGATCCTCCAATGATCAATCAACCGACCAACCCAGGATTTAACTTCACCTGGAATTCAGAAATGAAAAGGAAAAAAAAAACCCAGATAGATGATCAATCAGAAACTCGTTATAGATGTAAAAGTTTATTGGAAATTTAAGCAAAAGATCAAAACCCAAATCCAGATTCAGCCAAAAAACAATAGAAACCCACCAATCTAAGGAAACCCAAGTGCCAAATCTTGCAAAATACTAAGATCTGAGAGGAGGCACAATAAGAATAAGAATAGAGGAGGTTAATTTCATCCTCTTTCTTTTCTTCTATATGCCTTGCCCCCTTCAAATAATATTTCCTTCTCTCAAATGTGCCCTTTCTTATAATAAAAATCTCAATTTTTTTTCCTTTTTACATCAAAATGCAAATTCAGTTAAGACAAATATTGATCTAAATTTGTATGGTACAAATGCAACAAAAAATCTTTGTTTAGATAGAAAGAGGAAAAAAAATGCTTGGAGAGAGAAATGCTTTCATCTGCTGTGAATAATATACCTATAAAGACAGAAAGTCTTTTCAAAAAATGAAAGATTTTATTTTAACTTTTTTTATTCATTTAGTAAGAATTTGTTTTCAAAATTTTTATGCCAAAATAATTTTTTTTTAGAGGTTTGTTTGTTATTACAGTAAAAAATGGAAAAGAAAAAAATTATCAATTAGATTTTAATCTGATAAATTTGGTGGGAAGATATTTGCCTTGTTCTGCCCTTTTCTTATTTACCATAATTTTATTCTACTTCTACACCTCCACGCGCGTTAATGCTTGTTTTCATTGCATGCATGAAAGTTTCATTCCACGTTGTCTTAATGTACTTATGTGGGTATTTGTTAATTGAATTACATGTTGAATTTTCATCAAAATCTTGATGCATCAACATTATGAGAATGATGATTTGATTTGGGTCGTTGATTTGTTTTGTTGGTTCTGTTTTTGGATTGCCTAAATTCTTCTGAAGTTGAGCATTTTTCTTTTCTTTTTTTCACTATTTTGGAAATATTTTATTTATTTTTAAAATTAATACTTATATTTTAGCTAATAATCGAAATTTTAATTTTGTAACGAGAGAGAACATAAAAGGAAGTAAATTACTGGAGTTGTTTTATTATTTTTGTAAAAAATATTTAGAAAAAATGAATATTATCTTATTTTAGAATAAAATATATCGAAATATTTATATTAAATTTATAAATTATTCATAAAAAAATTATTAATAGTAAAAATCGAATTTAAACCCTACAAAAGGAAGCATTGCTTTGCTTGACGATTGTTCTCTTGTTGATTAATTTTATTTTTTTAACCTTTGAATTGTTGTCTTGTTGATTTTTTTTTTTATTATTATTTCACTATTAAAACGATACAAAATGAAATGTTGTTTTGATGCTTGAATGATACTGTCCTTTTTTTTACCTTTTTTTTTACTTTTATTATAATATATTAAAAAACTTTTAGCTTTAATATGTTTTATATTATAAATCAGATATTTTATTATAATATTTATGTTAAAAATTTGTAAAAGTTAAATTCCAAATAGAGAAAACTAAGAAATTGGGTGTTTGAAAATGACAAACAATAAAACATACTTTTGAAACATTCAAAAATACATTTTATGATTTTTTCTTTTGAAATTAAAAATATTATAAAAATTATAATCATAATAAATATTAAATTATTACATCCATATATAAAATAATTTATTAAATAATTAATCAATAAATTAAAACATAATTAATAAATTAAATATAAAATTAACTCAAACTTATGTATAATAAAACTTAAACGATATTCGAATTTTAAAATTTTTTTCCTAACTTAAACAATAAAAAAAATTAATAATTTCTTATGTTTGGCCATTTTGGCCTAACTTGAAAATAGAATAATGTTTAAGAAGCTATCTAAAAGTAAATGGTAACGTTGCCTTTCTCTTTGAACCCAAAAAGATATTTCTTAACAAAGGGTTAGCTGAAGACTTGAAGTGCCGTAGTTGCTAGAATATATATTTGCAGTTATAATTAGGTAAATACCAACAACCAATATTACTATTGACCCAAAATCACTTTTGATTTTGAACATTTATATTTTGAATTTTGAATTTTTTTCTAATTCAAAAGTTTGAGCTTGATTTTTTGTTATTTAAAAATTATTGGAATAGAAACTTGAATTCTAAACTTAACTTCCTTAACTAAATGAACTAAGTTTAAGTTGACCTCATTTATGGGTTCATAAATAAACTTTAAACAATCTCATAACTAAACTTTTTTATTTAAGTTTGTAAACAATATTATAATCCCATCAAACTTTGAACACATTTATAAAATTATATTCTATTTTCTTTTAAAGTTGTATTTAAATTTTATTGTATATAAGAATATTCAAAATTCGGTTTTAATCAAATTAACTAGTCGAATCAATTTAATTTGATTAATTAATTAATTAATTATCGTATTAATTTCAATCAGTTATCCAATATGTTTTTAAAGGAATTTAAATCTTTTGTTAATCCAATTCAAAAATCAAATTAATCAAAAATTTAATCAAAATATAACAAAATCCAAATATAAAATTAAAAATACATGAAATGGACCATTTCGTTTTATTAGTTGTTAGAATTTTTAACTTAATATTTTGTTAGTTGATTATTATATTAGATGATTTTATTTAATTTGTTTCAAACATGAGAAATTAAGAATTTAAAATATAATTAAAATATTTTTTATTTAGTTAATTAAAAAATTAATTGAATCAAATTTGGTTGATTACTTTTTTAAATTAATAAATTCGTTTAGATTAATGAAAATAAAATAATTTAATTTAATTAATTTAATTTTAAATAATTCAATTTAAAATTAATTGAGCCGATCAAATAAGCACTCCTAAATGTATATATTTACACACATATTATTTATAAAAAATAATAATAAATATTATTAATTACTATTTAAATTTTAATATTAACCTTTTTTTTTCATGATTCACGCAATTAGCTTTTACTTTCTTAAAAATATACTTAAATAATATATATAGAAAAATTATCAAAAACAATATGTATGCATGTATATGTAATAATTTTTCAAAAAGTTGAAAGTTTCTTAAAAGAAAAACTACTCATTCTTTAATTAAAACAAAAATTAAAAATAAAACAGCAAGCAAATTAAAAAAAATACAAAATAAACAAAACAATTTATAATAAAAATCATTTATATTGAATAAGAAAAAAAAAAGAAAGGCAAATTAATCTATATATAACTATCGCGATACCAAGAAATTTTTTTTTAAAAAAAAAAGAAATATTAGTGGTGTAAAATCATCATTTCATTGCAACAAACCTATATATAAACAAAATGAAGAAGATCAAAAGGCACAAATAAACCAGTAAATCTATACATTATATCAAAATCATTCCTAGAGGGTTCATTTGGCGTCAAGGTGGTATTCGTGAATAGTTTTTATAATATTAATTATTTATTTATTTTAAATTACACAAATTTAATTATTCATAGATTTAACAATTCATGAAGCTACGATATATTCATGAACTCAATTAATTATAGATAAATATGCTTATATGTTATTTAAGTATTTTGTGATTAAAAAAAATCTAAATATTTTAAATCTAAATTTATATGTATCGAGTAGTATAAATAATTATGAATCAAATTTAAATTATTATTATCAATATGTGTTCTTTCGATTCATCATTCAACCTCCCCAAACATAAATAACAATTATCATTGTGCTTGTATATATTTAAAAATTTTATTTTAATTTATTTTTTATGTTTCAGTACTTTTTAATATTCCTTTTTGTTCATTCTCAGTTCGTTTGAAATAAAACAAAAAATATATGTAAAAAAATTGGAGATTGATATTGATATTTAAGGTTATTTTAGAGTTTGGTTCCTTATCTACAAGCTAGGGTTAGTGGGTTACAATTACATTACATATGGTGGGCGTCCAGGCTGCCACTGGCTGGGGAGGGGGGGGGGGGGGGGTTCGGTGAGGATGGGAGAGAATGAGATACATCACATTCACATGCAACATATAAGACTTGCATTAACTAAAAATAATGTAAATGTGTCCCCCTCCTTCTAATAATCTTTTTCGCTTGCATTTACCTTTTGGGTTTAATAATTATTATGGCATACATTGTTTGATGAATGTCTACACCTTGGAATTTATCTCTATTAAATATTTTCTCATTTACTTTAAATTTTAAATTTGTACTTTATTTTTTAATAATAATAGCAAATTACTAAAAAATATTCATATATAGGGTATTGTTCAAAATTATATTAGAAGTAAATATTATATTAATTAACATATTTATAATTTAAGTATTATATTAAATTTTCTTAAAATTTAAGTAACGTATTAAATATTTGATTATAATTCATAACTAATAAGATTAACCAAAACATAAAAATAAAAATAAAATGAAACTTAAATACAAATGTGATAAGTTTGTTTCATGTAAATGATAACGTAGCTTGAAATACCCTTTAAAAAAAATTTTGAAAGTGCATTTTTACTTTTTATTTGAGAATAAAAATTTTAACTTATCCTATTTTAAGGAAAAACTCTCACAGAAAGGAGGATAAATAACAATGGATACCCACCTAGCAAATAGGGGAACAATTATTCAAAATATTAATTTAACATAAGTATTTTAGTAAATTTTTGTCTAATTTATGACTACTAAAATTAACAAAAATTTAAAAAGAGTGCAATTTTTTCTTAAACAATCTTATGTTTATATTATATTATACATATGGTTATAAATTTTTTTTTTGAAGTTTATAATATATTTTTGAACCTCCTTATCTTATTACATATCTGGTTGAAAATAAAATTATATGCTTAAACTGTTTTGAACTCGTAATCTCCAAATACTAATTCTAATGGCATGTCAATTGATTAAATGGATAGTTGGCATGATTATAAATTTTTTATTAGTTACAATTTGATCACTTATAAAAATATTAAATTAAAATGTGAAATGTGAGATTTTTAAATATATTATGATATAGAATAATTTTTTTATTTTAACTTATTTGAAAATATTATTTATTTGCTAATAAATTTAGTCTCAATAATAAGAAGGAAACCTTGAAAGCCTTTTTAAGTTTTAAGTTCAAGATCCATCAATTATTAATTTTGTCTGATTAGTTGGTTGTTAATTTGATTTGTTTATTGGTTTTTTTTCTTGATATATATTAAAATTTATTTAATTATGATTATAATTTATTTTAATACATATAATTTTTAAAAAATTGTAATTATAATCACATATTAAAAATAATTTAATTATGATTATAATTTCTCTTAAGTTTGCTTTAATTATGATTGTTGTTTATTCTTTTAGAAGAAAAAGATAAATAATAACAAAATAAGAATAAAATAAAACCCAATTTTAATTATAAAATTCATAGATGATTAAATTATAAATTTAAAATAATACCTTATTATCATTGTATTAAATTTTTAATAAAATAATCATATAATATATTCCGTAATTTTATAAAATTAAAACTTTTGGATTTAACATATAATTTTTTGAATAATATAATGTATATATAATATTTGTTTATATAATAAAAGTTGAAGCATGATCTCATTAAAAAAAATTTCTGATTACGCTACTCTTAAATAAGTCAGTTACACAAAAATAAAAGAAAAAATTATTGATAATGGCTCCCCGTTTCCCTCCTTCAATTTAAAACCAGATCTCTCCGAGTAAAGGGACCAATTAAGAAAGGCAACTAGGACCCACCCAGAAAAAGTAACCACATTAGCTCGTTGAAGTGACGGAACCAAAACCCCCGTCAGATATTGGTTCATGAAAACTCCGTACTACCTCTTAAATTCGCTCCACCTCATCAATCATCAATACTAAATTATAAAAGAACCCCAACCCTCATAATTTTGTGCATTTATCCTTCCCTCCGAAATCCAATTTACCCTCCAAAATCAAATTCTTTCAATTTAAAAATTAGAAACGTGCTTTATTTATTCCGAAGCTGAATCCTTTCTTTCTCCACTGCCCATCCAAAAAAAACCAACCGGGATCCTTCCATTTCTCTAAATTCAATGGATCGTGTGGGATCTTCATATCCCCAACGTGTTTCCGGCGAGGTTCACGTCATCATCGGACCCATGTTTGCCGGCAAGACCACTTCTCTCCTTCGCCGAATCAAATCCGAAGTCAACAACGGCCGGTAGTTTCCTAATTTCTGTGATTGTAAATATTTTTTTTATTCCTTGATGTTGGGATTTTAGTAATTCAACATTTCCTGTCTTCGATTTGTTATTCTTTATTATTATTATAGAAACGTTGCAATGATAAAGTCAAGCAAAGATACAAGGTACGCTACTGATTCAGTTGTAACTCACGATGGTGCGAAATTCCCATGTTGGGCTTTGCCGGATCTCATGTCGTTTCGACAGAAGCTTGGGGAAGATGCTTATGAAAAGGTAATTTCCGGAGTTTAATTATATCGGCAAATCCTTTTCTTTTTCTTCCCTGTAAAAAAGTATAATTTCTTTTGTTTATACTAAAAATTGTTGGGTTTGTGTGGCAGCTGGATGTGATTGGTATAGACGAGGCCCAGTTTTTCGAAGATCTGTACGATTTCTGCTGCAAAGCTGCCGACCATGATGGCAAAACTGTAATTGTATCTGGCTTAGATGGGGATTATTTGAGGTGAAGATCATTTACAGTACCTCTTTGGCAAATTCATAACAATCCATTTGATAAGGAATACAAATTTTTCTCAGATCTTTTTTTTTTTTTTTTATTAACAGAAGGAGCTTTGGGTCAGTGCTGGACATAATTCCCCTGGCTGATACTGTAACGAAGTTGACAGCGAGATGTGAAGTGTGCGGGAAAAAGGCGTTTTTCACATTCAGGAAGACAGAGGAGACCAAAACAGAGTTGATCGGAGGGGCAGATGTTTACATGCCTGTTTGTCGGCAGCATTATGTCAATGGGCTAACAGTTGTGGAAGCTACCAAGACTCTGCTTGAATCAATAAAACTTCATCATCACGCTCAATCATCATGTCTTGAAGCAGCAGCTTCAGTTCTTGAGTGACAATACTCTATAATCTATTCATGTAACTCATAAAGACAAAAAAAAAAAAAAAAGTGGAGTGGTCTGTCTTCTTGTGTTTTGCCTAAAATGTTCTATGAGGATAAATTTCTTATGGTAATGTTAATTACATTTTTCATGAGGATAAATTAATCAAAAAATAATATTAAAAAATATTTTTCTTATAGTGATAAAAAATTTCTATCATTTAAGTTAGAAATCAAATTACTTCCCAAGATAATAATCTTATCATCACATGATTTAAAATCATTGCTAAAAAGATTTTTAAACTCTGTTTGATGTATACGAAAGTAAGATGTTTCGTTAAGTTCATTAAATAAAAATAGGTGTACATGATATATATTTGACAATTTCATGTATATATATTATATAAAACATTGATAATTTTATGCTAAAGTTATATATTAAAAATTATAAAATATATTTTTTTAATTTTATAAAATATTTAAATTGAATTATTTTTGTAATTGTATTTTAAATAAAAATCAATCAACCATAAAATGTAACCTGTCATTTGAAAATTTTTAACTATATTTAATGATCAGTTTAATTTTTAATGTGTTGTTTAATAAATTAATTAAAAATTTAATAACATTAAAAAATAACATCTGACTTGACGAATCAAAATTTAGAATCATAGCTCATCTCCGATGTTTTAGATCTCAACTCCAACGTCCATGAATTTTGCAAGCCTTTCACCGTGAACCGTCCTGACAAATTTAAACGTTTGGTTTGGATGTAATCGCACCCACGATGAAACGCGATTACATTCCAAAAATTAGCAAAAAGCTATTGGATAATTATTTGGACCTTTAGAACTAAACGCGAATACTTTATTTTTCCTTCATTTAGCCAGTAACCATTTTTGTCTAATGGCTAAACGGTCCCTCTCATTTGTTTTTTCTATTTTATCTTCTAATTCATACTATAAAGACAAATATATTCCTACAAGACAATTTTTTATTTTTAAGTTGTTAATTTTAAATTTTTATTTAAAAACTATAAAATAATTTTACTAATTTAATGTAAAAAATAAAAAATTTTAATTATTTATTAATTTTATAAATATTAAATAATTTAAAATTTTTATTATATACAATTTTTAACTTAATTCTTTTTATAATTATTTTAATTTTTTATTTCAATTCATTTTATCATTATCGTTACTTTTATATCAAAATACATATTTTATCATTAATTTTAATTTTATTACTATAATAACTTATCTCATCGTCATAGTAACTAATATTACTTTATTATTATTTTTTATTTAACCAAAACTAATTTTATTGTTCATTCAAATAAACCACAAAATCTTTAAAATTCTCAAAATATAATATTTCTACATCAATTACTTAGAGTAGTTGTCAAACTGTTTTGACAATTGGATCCAGCAATGCCAAAACAGTGAAATTATCATTTCAAGGGTGTGGCATTGATTTTTTTTTTTTTTTTTTACTGAACTAGCAATATCTCCCTGGGCTTTGGTAATTCCTAAATAATTTATAAAATTCAAAATAATTAAGATGCAAGTTTTGAGTATTGGTAAGTCAAATTTCTTTGAAAATAAATTTTTTTATCGAGTAAAATTGTGAAAACAAAACGGAATTCAAATATGACTCTTTGGATCATGAATATATGCAAACATTTCTTCTAAAATATTGGTAATTAAAAATTATTGGACAATTTTATCACACAGTTTTCACATTAAAAGTTAAAAATAAAATTAAAAAATTAATTATAAAGTTGGGCTTGTAGCTTTCTCATTAAAAAACAATAGGCTTGAAATAGGCTCATTACTGCCAACTGAAGAGGAAATAAAGGCCGAAGCCCAATCATCCGGAACATGACACGTGTAACAGATTAGGAGGTTTGGAAAAATTGAATCCAGAAAAACGCACAAAACGCACAAAACGCATCCAGTTTTGAGGTTTTATTCAATCAATCAATCAGTGCACAAGAGAAGAAAACCATCGCAACGACGCGTTTTGCATCCCCTTTGAATTCCGCTGAAAATTTTTCCCCATCTTATCTCCACGGTGGTGCATGTTTTCCCGTGTCGTTTTGGTTAAAATCAGGTTAGTAAAGCAGTGTCCTTCCCTCCCTCTCTTTTTCCTCTATCTTTGTCCTTCTTCCGTCGTCGTTTCATTCCTTCTCGCCTCGGTTTCTGATTTGCAATTTCCTTTCCTTTTAATTGATTTTTTTTTTACTTTTATTATCGCCAACCTATTCAAAACAACCAAAGCTTCAAACAACAACGGGTTTTCTGGAGAACCATACGGAAATTAGGGTTTGGAAATTGAAGGACCCAACGCAAAATTCTTGAACTTTATATATATATTTTTGTGAACGTATATATTTGTAATCCATGAAAGCTTGATTTTTTTTCTATTAATTGTAATTAAATCCTCAAAAAAGCTTCAAATTGATTTAAAATATTTTAATTTGGTTCAGTGGTTTGACAAAAATTGGCTCCAAAATGTAAAATTTATGCATATTAACTGTAACGGATGATATTGCTATTCAGTTACTAAAGTTTCCATTTTTGGCCTGCATTTCAATCCTCTCTTTTCTTTTTTTTTAATTTTTTATAAATTTGTTTGGGGTTAAATTTTAGAATATAAAATCAATGGAAGAGATTGGAATGGACCCAAGTGCAGCCAATCCTGGACCAATTGATCGTTCAGTACTGTATGATCAAGAAAAGCATGTATCTTCAGCTGTTTGGGATGGCCAGGTTCATTTCTCATTCACACCAATTTTCTCCTTTATGTATTTGCAAATATGTAATTTATATTTCTTGGATAAGTAAAATGTGGAGAATTCATTTGTGCACTTGTTGGATTAGAGACTTCTATGTGTAGTTAAACAAATCATTATTAAAATATTTACTAGAGTGTGCCAATGATGTTTTGTCTCAATGGTAAGAAGCCCTGTGACTACTCTGTTTCATATTCAATCTTATTTTATGTTGTATTTTCTACGGCTATACACTAGTTTGTTAGTTAGTTAGTTTTGGTTGTTTATTAGTTTCATCTCTTTGATGCACTAGACTAGTTGTGCTTATGTATATACAGGGTTGTTTGATTTGTGATTGTAATTTTGGCTTATGCATGTATTTTTGTTATATATATATATATATATATATTACAGGAGCGTGGTGCACTTAGATGTCATGAGCATACATCGAAGTTGGGTGAGTGGAGACTTGCCCCTAAACAGATTGAGTTGGTTGAGAAAGCAGGATTTGGGTACTTGAGGAAGATACCTGCCATTAGTTTAGATAATCCGCTCATTTCAGCATTAGTTGAGAGGTGGAGGAGAGAGACAAATACATTTCACTTCACTGTTGGAGAAATGACTGTAACTCTTCAAGATGTTGCCTTCTTGTTGGGATTGGCAATTGATGGGAAGCCTGTGATTGGATTAACATATACCACTTGTAGCACAGTGTGTGAAAAGTATCTAGGGAAAGCACCAGATTCTACTTATGCGAGTGGTGGGATGGTGAAGCTAAGTTGGTTGAAAGAGTTTTTTTCTCAATGCCCTGAAGATGCATCAATTGAACAGATTGAGCACCACACACGTGCCTACCTTTTATATCTTGTGGGAAGCACTATATTTTCGACTACAACAGGGAATAAGGTCCCTGTCATGTACCTTCCATTGTTTGAGAATTTTGACGATGCTGGGAGATATGCATGGGGTGCAGCTGCATTAGCATTCTTGTATAGGGCACTTGGGAATGCCTCTGTTAAATCTCAAAGCACCATTTGTGGATGTTTGACACTACTTCAGGTTATTTCACTTTTCTTTTGTTCCTCCTCCCCACTTTATTTTATTTCTTCTATAAGTTCTTGAAGAGCCTGGTGTCTTTTGGCTTTTCTTGACGAAAGGGAGCTGTTAAGAGGACTACTAGAAGAAAATTTTTAATGCTATTGCTCATAGCCTTTAGTTAAAATTCTGCCATTGATAATTTTTCTTCCTTTTTAGTGCTGGAGTTACTATCATCTAAATATTGGTCGACCAAAGCTCAACAGGGACCCTATCCACGATCATTTTCCTTTTGTACTTAGGTGGAAGGGAAAGCAGAGTGGTCCAACAACAAACCGTGATGTAGTTTTCTACCGTAAGGCACTTGACTCCCTAGAACCATGTGATGTAAGTTCTTGGTATTCCTTCTTTTTTTTTTTTAAATTTATATTCTACTTGCCATCTCTGAAAGAATCAGCTTTTAACCAAAAGAAAGAAGAGATAAAAGAAAGAGTGATACAACTTTATGTTGTTGAAAAATAGGTAGAGTGGCTTCCTTACAAATACATGGATAGTACAGTAATCCCAGAGGAAATTAGAAGTACATTGGTTTTGGGGCGGTCCAAAACAATGTTGATTTGCTTTGACAAGGCAGAAAGACATCTCCCTAATCGTGTCCTAAGGCAATATGGCATTCTTCAATCGATCCCAGAAGATGTGGCACAATGGGTAAGAAAGAGCCGTGGAGTTGATGGTGGGGTGGACTTGTCTGGGAAAATGGAATCAGAACTTAATGAATGGGCAGATCGTGCACTCCATATTGTGGAAAGTGACGATGATGCAGATGAAAACGAATACATGGGTTGGTACTCGAGAATTACTCGTAAATTTGTAGGGAGACCTATTTCTCTCTCTTCGGAGTTTCAAAGAACAGTAAGGCTATACTTTACCAGTTAACTAATGTCTACCTCCTGTCCCCAGTTAATTTCATGTGTGTAATCCTTTTTCCTTTTTGTTTTTGAAACAGATTGGTGGTGTGAGGGAAATTTCATACTTAGCTGACACTTTCCCATTGAAAGGACTGCAGCCTGAGCAATTTGAATCAATTACCAGGATTAGGTCGATTGCACAAGAATGCTTGAGAGATCAAGTTGGATGTCCAACTGTAGTGTCACCCGTTGTGGGAACTGAACTTGGGAAAAGGACTAGGGGAAAGGAGAGGGTAAGAAGAAAGGGTACTGGGAAACGGAAGCGTAGTAACGATCCCATGGAAGGTCATGGAGCTAGTGAGGATGAGTCTCCGTATTGCGGCGGGGTTGTTGTGGTAGATCAATTGCATCTACATCATGTAGACGATGAGGTAGATCATCTGCCACTCTGTGCTACAGTTGTTGAGGGTGAAACTGCACTGCTATTGGAGGCACCTAACAAAGTTGATGACATGCAACTTCATGATACAACTGACGGGATTGATGCCTCAGAGTTTTGTGATGCTAATAATGAGGTTGACAACTCAGATATCCCTCATGCTATTAGTGAAAGTGATTTGCAAACTGCCAAAACAGCAGAGGAGGTTATTCCTCAGTCATCTGATCTACCTGATACGACCAATGATACCAATGATTCAGAAATTCATAATACAACTAACAAGCCAAATGACTCACAAGTTTGTAATGCTACTAGTGGGGTCAATGACGCCCACGCCCAAAATCCGGTGGCTACCGATGTTAATGAATCACAAACTCATGATGCTACTGACAAGACCAGTGAGTCACAACCCTCCGATGTTGCTGTTCAGAGTGATCAGCAAATGGTAAAAGAGGAAGCAGAGGTTGTTCCACTGTTATCTGAGGATCTTGCACAGCAGGGTGATACTAGTGTTGTAGCTTAAAGTGGACGCATTTTTGTGTGAATTTCTGGAGGTAATTCTCTGACAATTGGCTAAATGTGTTTGCTTAGAAAAATAGATAAATGTATACATACATATACATAAAAACTTGGGGTATGTGCCTTCCATTCCTGTCTACTACATTTGAAATGAGATTTTTTATTTTCTTTTTTGACAGGCTGCCAAAGATGAACTGGTCTCAGCCTTCTATTTTTGGCAAGGACAATTGGTTGCTCAAGAAACAAAATTTATCATGTAATGCAAATAGTTCAAAGTGCCTGGTCTGTTTTAAGGGCATATTCTGTGGCTTGTAGAATTAGCACTGATTAACAGAAATTTAATTTATTTTTGATTTTAGATGACAGGTTTGTAGGATTGTTTTATTTAGAATTAACTTGTTTTCTTCTGCAATTTGCCATATTCTTGCAGCTTAATGCAAATTGCATGGCATGTTCATTTTTATTTCTACTAATAATGTATAGGGTGTTTACTAATTCTTTCATTGGTGTTGGCATGGATGATCGTTTGATGTTTTAGTGATCTGTAAGTGAAGTAGATGGTTATATGTACTTGCCAACACCTGAAAAGTTGGCACTCTTTCTATTGTGGTCATTATTTTGGGATTGTGTTGCCTCAAAGTTATACTGTAGGTTTCCGCGTTTTGCGAAGGCGGGACATACATGTGAGAGCTTGGTATTGGAAGTTTAATTCATCTGAGTCTTGCTAGTTGTTGGGACATAAATTGTTCTTGATTCTTATGGACAGGGTGTGAATGATGAAAGCAAAGAGTCTGATTTATACTGTTCTTTTCCGTACATTTTAATCTGCTAGATTGACTTGGCGACTATGCCACTAGCTCCAGGCTCTCTCTTTAGTTTTTTAATCCCAAATAATGAAAATCTACGAAAGATCTTAATAAGCCTGCTAGCATATTTTCTTTGTGAAGCAAAATTCAGGGAACCCATGCAACCTGTTACTTGTCCAAGAGGGTTCCTTCTCCTGCTTACTAATCTGCTTTCTATGCCATAAGGTTTCATACTCTGTGATTTGTTTGGAGTTGAATCTGTTTTCTTTGACATGTTATGCCATTGAAGGCTCTTCTTCAAGGACATGAGCTCTTGTTCAAGGTTCTGAATTCTGAAGCTTGTCGATTCGTAGCTCCTCTCCATGGCAAGGTCATTTCGTAGGAACAAGCTCAAAGGTTTGCTGTCTGTCCCTGCTCCATCCTTGTAGGGGCTTTCTCCTAGATTTAGGCTATTTGAGTTTGGACACCTTGAGCTGGATAAGCTTCCAGAGAACTGTCCTGTGAACCTAAATGAGTCGGAGCATTCTTTAAAAGCTTGGTGGGTGTTCAGCTGTTGAACAAACAGAGCCTGGACTATCAAACGCAGTGGCATCAACTCATTTTGAACCGCTTCTATACATGCCTCTTGTGAAAGCTTTTGGCAGTTGAGGTATTTGCAGACTGATCCCTTCTCATCTTGAGTTATATCTCTATGTGCCTGACCGATAGGTGGTGCGAAGTTAGTTCCAAGTATGTTTGCAACTTGCAAGTTGGAAGGAATCAAGGAAATCTAGTTTTGGCAAACTAAGTCTATTTTTATATGCATTTATTTGTTAAACTGTCCCAACTTTAAAATATTTGAGGCTGGCTATAGTTTGCGAAAACTTACCAGTAGGAAACTATTCATTGCTCTATAAAGCTGATCATGACTCTGACGGCAAGATATTGGTAATAATTCAACCAGTTCCATGAACTTTTTAGGCTCCATTTCTGGATCGGAAGCTATCTGGACGAGGAATGTGTCCCATAATTCTGCAACAATCGAGTTGCTTGCTGAAGGGGTAGGGTTGGTGTCCATGTTAAATGATGCAAAAGTAGAGAATATACTCTTCATCGTAGCCAACTCCTTGCTTGAAGAAAAGGACTCTGTTCCAATCTGTGGAAGGAGAAAATCTTCCACTTGGGCAAAGTGCAACATAGATGCGATCTGATCTTGCAATTTCACTTTGCTGTCACTTCTCAAACCAAATTCTAAGGATCTAGACAGTAATGCAAAGTAAAATCCAACAGGAATAGCCCTGCTGGCCTTCTCCCCTATGGGCAGTAAATCTAGAATCCCTTGTAAAATGACAGAAACCTTGTTGTTTGTGTCACTGTCACCGATTTTCTCGCCTGGGTTCTCCCAAAATTGGCGTGTCTTCTTGGAGAGTACCCATTTATTTGCGTAGAAGACAATGATGGGAGTCACATATTTTTCTTTCATTCCTTGCCTTCTTAAGGATCCAATTATCCTTTTGAAGAATCCAAATGGTAGAGCTATGAGATCTTTGATCCATAGGTCCTTGCTTGCGATTGCTTTCACAGTTTCACAGCTCCAAGCTTCACCAGCCAATGCCTCTATTGTAACAACTGGTTCGTCCCTTCTCCTCTCTGGATCAAGAATCTCCATGCAGGCCATGAAGGCCAGGGATTCAATGCAGCGGCTCACAATCAGCAGCTCCTCAGACCAGGGAAGTAACATTTGGCATTTCTGGAGAACAATCAGTGTATCATCCCAACTTTGCAAAACCACTTGGTTCAAATAGAGATCGAAACGCTCACAAAGGTTGCCAATGCAGTATTCTTCTGTCATTTCAAGAAATTCTGCTGCACACCTGAGGGCTGCTACATTACAAGGATCAACCAATGTGGTGGAACCATAGATGAATAATGCAATCATCTCAAATGTTTCTGGTCCTCCAGGGAAATCTTGTGGTAGATCAAGCTCATTTGATTCAGTCAATCTCTTATGAAAGTAACCACTCTTTGAGAACAATGGATCCTGCAGAATATATAGAAAAATTAATGTAAGTTTTTTGACCTTGTAGAAAATTCTAAAAGTAGCAAGCACGCCTGCTTCTGCAACAAGTCAGACATCGGACATTAATTGGTAAAACCAACTGAAATATGCTATGTTAAAGCAGAAACAATTGAATTTGATTGCATATTTTTCACCATACCTTATGCAGGCAGAAGGTTCTTTGACCAACTCGAACACGCATCGAAACAGGCAATCCGGTTTCTTGGCTCCTGAAATGATGCAACGAACATAAATCTTTCTGCTGAAATGCAAGGTATGAATACATAGAATTAGAAAGCCATTTATTCTTTACCATGAAATAATCCTAATCTTGAGTAGGCAACTGACATTGGGTGAAGAAAAAGGACTTGAAGCTACTGAACTATCTTTCGAACTGGAAACTTCCATTGTCATAGTTAATAAGAATCCAAAGAAACTGAGATCAAAACTTGGCAAAAGCAACAAGTTAATAACACTGCAAATACAAACATGCACTTGCACTTCTCGTCGTCATTTCTCTCTTTAAATTAGCAATAAATGATTAAGATCCGACTCAAGAATCGAAGTAAAAAAGTACTATATCACAGCTTCTAGAACCCAGAAAAACAGTGGAAATGAATAGAATTAGAATGAGAAAATGAGAGGAAAAAGAGGTGGTTCAGGTCAGGTTGCTTACTAACACGTTTTTGCCATTCATTTCTCAACAATCAAACAATAGTTTATGTTGTTTGATTGAGTCAAAGTCAGATGATGCACACGAGTGTAGCTCAAAATCCAAATTTTAAGGCTTCAAAAACGTTCCTCGAGTGCTGAGAAAGTTGAATTCTTGTACCTCTTCTTGGCCTCCGCCAATAGAATATGGTACCGTTTTTCCAGCTCCCTCACTTTCCCTCTCATATAACCCTTCTATGGCAAGTTTGAGCATTTTATGTGTCAAAGACCCGCATGTCGATGTGATGCAAAATTTTTTTATAGACTTGATAATTCTTTTCTCTCTTTCTTTTCCTTATAGATTAATTGAATTTCGTAGATGATTAAGAGATTTTAGAAATTAATTCAACTGCTAAATATAAAGAGTTAAGAGTTAATATTTAATGTACTAATAGTGTATAAATATTATGAAATATAAATTATTAATCAATCATATGATAATGTTTCATTAATAAATAAAATAAAAAAATAATTGGGTCCTTAAAATATGAGTAAGATTATCATATAATAATATTTATTTTTTAAAAATTTAATTACTTTTTTTATTCATTAATGGAATATAATCTTATAATTGATTGATAGTATATAATATTTATACATTATCAATATATCAAATATTAACTCATATATTAATTAATAATTTTACATAAAATGTTGTAACTTTTAATTTTATAATTTCAAATATATATATTTGTATACTTGAATCCGAATAATTATATTCTTAAAAAATTTGTGGGGCACAAGCAAGAAAAAAGTTAGTGTAATTCTTTCTTGAATGATATTTAGATAGAAAATGGAACATCGCTTCGTAAGGAAGAGTTAAAAAAAAGTGTTCTTATGAATTCAAGATGTAGTATAATTAGTTTATGTACGTTATTTTTAAAAGATAATATTATGTGATTTAAATCCAATATTTGTATTTTCTTCATTATTTTTAAGCTATGACCTTTTCCTAAAAAGAAAAAAAAAAACTTAATAGATTTTATAGAGAAATAGGAAAGTGTGGTATTTGGAAGTAGAGAAGGGGGGGTGGGGGGGCAGTGGGAGATGAAGTGCGGAAGAAGTTTTGTGAGCTTTGATAGCGTATGCTGACAACCAAGACGGCACGGCACGGCTTCTGAAAAAGGGGTACTTTGGATTGAGAGGTTTTTGCTTGCTTTTTCCCGCCACATCTCAATCCCCTAAAACATAACTTTTCTTTCTCTCCTTTTTTTTTTTTTTTTAAATTTTGACATGACATAATAATTAATAAAACCCTTGTTCACACTCAGGCAACAAATTTAAAAAAAAAATGTATTTATAGGTTGAAATTTCATCTTTTATATTAAATTAAATGGTAAACCATATATAACAGCTGCATCTTAGATCCTTGACACTCATATAATGCATTCCCATTAAAGCTACAAAAAGATAGTTATTTTATTTCATAACATCGAATGGGAATTTTAATGCTTCTATAGTTGAATTCGATACTTTATTATTCCTTTAACTAGCATTAAATACACTAAAAAATAATTTTGAATTTTTACTTTGTGATCCAAAATCAAACCAAATTAAATAAACATTTTGTTATTCGAACTTAATACAATTTAACTCTACAAATCCAATCAGTTGTTGATTAAAATTTAAATGGAACATTATAATTTGAATCGATTTTCTTAATTTTTTTTCTCAATTCTAACAAGTGAGAAAGTTGAAAAGATAGAGGGATTCGTTAAAAAATAAAAAACATTGGATTTTATCTCTTATAAGGAGGGGTAACAACCACTAATTGTTATTAAACCTATAATTCCTAGGATGCCTGAAAATTTGAAACCATTGTTCGCAACTCTTTTGCCAAACTTACTAGAAGAAAATGCTTATAACCTTTTATTCACAAATTGTAGTAGTACAGATTATGACTTCCAAACAGTAAAACATGTGCTTTAGGATTTATGAATCTCAGTTTGGGAAAGTAGGTGAAGAAAGTCTCTGATAGCATAAGCCATAAGATTTCACTTAAAACTGGCATACTATTATTTCTGTCGGTTCAGAAAAGTAAATGAGTAGCTAGTTTTAGGCTGAAAGCTCACTCAAAATGCCATCAAGTGGAAGCTAAGTCAGTCTCATCATCTTTGAGGTCAGAAAAGAAGGGGTCCTTAAGAAGTTCAGAAGCTGAAGGTCTTGCCCTTGGCTGGGCTATGCATTTCTCGATAAATGCCTTCACTTCTGGATCTGGCACTAAGTTCAAGGCTCGGGGTTTCACTCCAGAGGTGACCTTCTTGTATATTTTGGCAACACTATCACATTCACTATAAGGTATCTCCATTGTCACCATTTCAAGCAAGCACATTCCAAAAGAGTATATGTCAACCATCTCAGTGTAATCTTCCTCGTACAGCTCTGGTGCCATATATTCTGGTGTCCCTATTATGGAATGTGCAGCATGGCTTCTACCAACTATTGCTGCAAGTCCCAGGTCGCCAATTTTCACCTGCATAGAGAATATTAAAACACTTGAAATTTACAGTTATAGGCTCATAGAAGGTCTAAAGAACATTCTGGATCTATCCAGAAACTTCCAGTCCAATAAATTTTGATTTTCTTCCTTGGACCTCCAATGCGAACATGAATTGGTTTGTTTGATCTTAATCCCTAAAAAGTTTTCCTTTATAGTTCAAAATACCATGGTTAACTGGTAAATGAATAAGAAAAATTCACAGGTGCCTTTCTTCTCTGTTACAGTGCCACTTTCTCAGATGACCAGATGAAACAATTTAAGTAATCCAACATTGACTGCATCTATCTCTTTCCAATCTGTTTCCGTCACAAGCAGAGCCTAAAATATAAAGTATGCAGCAGCTACATTAAACTGACCATTGGGTGATTCAGCAAGCCTAAAATATAAAATTAGAATGTAAGACCAAAAGGCTATTGCCTCTAGCCATTAAATATTTTTGGTTATAGACTACTTCACTACATTGCTATCCAATTTAAGTGCTGGAAAATAAGAATAAGCTTAGTTGGTTAAATAATCATCCATGTAGTTGTAGTTAGTTATAAGGAAATAACAAGGAAATAACATGACACCGGAGGTAATATGTTTCATAAAAATTGGAAGCCAGTTTCACATAGTATAATAGGGAATAAGCCTACTTACTTGGCCAATGTTCCCATTGATGAAGATGTTGCTGCAATTGAGATCTCTGTGAATAATGCATGGGTCATGTGTATGGAGATATTCCAATCCCTCAAGCACCTGCTTCGACCACTTCTTCAAGGCCTTAATGGACACATGGCGATGCTTCTTCCTGTAAGTTCTCAAGTTTCCTGATGTGCAGACCTCAGTGATAAAATTTAATGTGTTATGCTCTCGGTCCCTCCAAACACTGTAGCAAACAATGATATACTTGTTTTTCAATGTTCTCAGCAACTGGACCTCGGATTGAAGCCGATTGATCAGAACGGGGTCTTCACTAAAGTTAGTCAATTTTACTTGATTCCAAGCCACCTCTATACCTTCCTCCTGATCAAAGGCCCTGTAAACCTTCTTCACCGCACCTGCACCTAGCAAATCATTATAGCGCCCATAGCGTCCAGTGGGATCAACCTCGACAAATGATTCTACCTCTCGATCAAACATATTGGGACTAGCAGCCGGCATCTTCAAAGATTAGAATCATGAGATAATATTTACAGATTATACTCACAAAAACTATTATCGAAACAGAGAATTCACTAGAAACAGCATATGAACAAAACCCTGATCAAATTGAAACTAAATCCAATATTATTAATTTAAAGAAGGAAAAAAAAGGTGTCACGCAAATACGACTAATAATTAACAGAGGTACAAAGCAGGAACAACAATCGGTTAGAGACATGTCGAATATTAAGGCATTGATCAAACTGAAGGATTCAAGGGTTGAAATTTTTACTTCAGTTCGAGAATCAAGATTGCATTATCAAAAAGTACAGTATGAAGAAATGTAATCTTGAATTGAAATATAAATTGTCTTCACCACAAATTCAAAGTGATTCGGAAAACGAAATCTCAATCAGAAACGATTCGAGCTTAAGCAAAAAGAACGAGATAAAAGATCATTAGTATCCTAAAATTTGCAGCAATTAAAAAAAATTCCTGCAACCTGATTTAGACCTAAATTCATAGCTTGTTATTTGAAACAAACAAAGTATAGTTAATAATACTAGGAAAAGAAAAAGAAAGATGAAGAAAAGACCAAGGAATTAAGCAATCAAAGTTGGGAGGAAAAAAAAAAAAGAAACGTAAGGAAGTAAACAAAAGAAATAGTTCAAAATTCAACTCCATTCATGGCTAGGGTTTTCCTCCACAACTAATCCATGCCATGCTATGCCATGCCATGCAAGCATCTTTATCACTAATTAATGCATATTAGGATGGATCAAATAAATATAGGAATTTTAGATGGATGTTTAAACTTAAAGAGAAAGGAAAAGGAGAGAAAGTGAGAGGAAATTACCTCGATAGGAGAAGAAGATTAAACAGAACAGGCCAAGCTTGTTTTCGATTGATAGAACCAGGAGAGACGCTAGTTGCGAGAGCGACGGTGAAGCTGCTTTGCTGTGGGGCTTGGGGAACCGGGGGCTGGGGCTATATATAGTTGACGCGTTTTTAATTTTTAATTTTTATTTTTAGATGGTGAAATCTGAAAAGCGAAAGAGACACGTGGTGGAAGAAAAGGATATAGGGCATCAGCCCATCACAACAAAGGGAAGCTTTGGAAAGCAACCTAATTCCAACCGTTGCTTTCTATGGTTCTGGAAACAAATACCTTGTGAATAATGAAAAAATAAAAGAAAGAAAAATATATATATATATTTTTAATAAAAAAATTTTTAAAAATAAATTTTTATATTTTATTTTAAAAAATAAAAATTTATAACTTTTCATTAACAAAGCGGCATCGTATGATTACTGAACGCCACTCATCGATGCGAATATTAGCAGAACAGAGCAGAGCAGCGTTTGCAGTCCAACTGTCTAAAGTCCATGTCAACTGTCGAAAGCTGCACTCGTGAAGAAAAAGATAGGTCGTCAAACATGGATGGAACCATCTTTGAACAAGCCTCTTGATTACATGAAATTCCCGTGCCTGAATCTCTAACAGAGCACTAAATCTCAACATCATGGGAAACACGTAGAAACCAACTGCTAGAATTAATTGTCAACTTGTAATTATTTACATACATCAGAACCTGGCTACGATTCTAAATCATTCAGTTGGGGCAACGCAAATCACCTTCGCCTTTGGCCTCCTAATTAAAGCGAAGATCATATTTGGGAGCAATATCACGAAAACGACATTGAAAGAAGAGAATAAACTACATGATCCATTGAGATGTGCTTGATATAGCTCCTCCACTTGGATTAATGTTATTATTTTCCATTCTACATTCTTTCTTTTCAACCAAAAGAAACAAAAAAAAAAAAAATAAACAAGGATGTGGAAGGGTGTTGGCGTAGGGGGAAGGGGAGCATATTGTAATGGCAGTAGATGTATTAACCGTTTGGCCAATCCGTTGGATTGTAGGAAACGTGACAAACCCCTAAGATATACCAGTCAGATCAAAAAATTGCGTATAACCTACTTCGATCTACCAGCAATAAGACCTCCTTCCACTTGCAGAAAGAACAAAACAATGGACGAGTTAACTGCAAAGAAGCCGGCTAACTTATGATTTATATAGAAGTACTCAGTTAAACGGAACCCCTCTAATAAGCTCTGGCGGCTAAGAACACTAATTGAAGCATAATTTTCACTTCCGTGCATGCCAGAGGCCTTGATCAATGGTAGAACGACAGGGTAACTAGGAGGTCCTACGTTCAAGTCACTGTTCTCATGTGTGTGAGTACAATATTAAAGATACTAAATAATAAAATCACTTCCATGCACAAGAAGCGACCAAATCCCTATTCATCCAACCAAGATACAAAGCCCCATCTCTCTCTTCAAGCGTATATTTATCACAGTAGTTCTCATGCAGTGTTTTTATGGTGGCATTAACCAATGAGCTTAATGGATAAGGAGTGAACCCTGCCATTCTGAACCTTGACCTCCACTTTCCCAAGAGCTCACGTCGTTCTACTCTCTCAGGCCCCTCACAAGCTATGATGTTAACAACATCCCTTGCCAGGCAGTGCTGCTCAACATTGATCCGCTCTTTATGTTCTCGTGGGAGAGTCATGTCAATTGATTCAAAAATGGCTGTGTAATAGTTCAAAGTTTCAAGGAACCTGGGGAAGAATGGAGCAGTATTTGTGTTAGATTCCTGCTCAACAAGGGTTACAACCTTTGGAGACAGGCTCTTAACCAGCCTCAAGAGTCGGTCACGATGATTCTCAGTGCTGACACTCTCATCAGGCATGTGGTGAAGCATGAAAGCAAAATTTACTGCTAGAGCCTCTCCAGGTCGAACTTGAAGATGTTCCTGCTGAACGTCACAGCCAGACAAGGTAGCAGCATGGAACTCAAATGGCACTTTAAAATGCTTTGCAAGCTTAGAAAGCCTCTTTCCCACAATGTTTAGGCCTCCTCCATGGGCATAAGCAGATGTGGCATAATCGATACTAGTTATGCGGATGTGGGGTGGCCCGCCAGGCCTAGCTGCAAATGCTTGGATGAGAGTGATCCACTGACTCCCCTGAGCTATTTGGAAATCGATAATATGAACTTTATCTTCATCTTTCATGGCTTCTGCAATGGCTCCATTAGCAGACATGTAACCAAACTTGAAGTAGGGGCAAACCTCGTAAAGAATGTGCATGTAAGATAATAGATCAGCAGTTGCTGGTTCTTTGCATCTCAATGCCTTGTAAATTGAGCTCCCTGAGGAGGCCAGTCGTGCCACAAGCCCTTCCAACATGTATGCTCCCAACCTCTGGATGGGCTCACCAGAAACTGACACCATCTGTCGCAATTCATCCATTAACCACTGTGCCATCAACAGATCATTATCTGATACTGCTTTTGCACAGTAGACAAGTACTTGTTTTAAGTCCCCCCTGGAGATTGCATCCGTTACAAGTCTCCAGCTGTCCATCTCTGGTGAGGTTATGCTGTCAATAATATCAGAATCAGGCCCCAACATCACAGTTTCCAGCTTTCTCAGCTTATCCCTCAAATCACTTACATCCTCCGTTATGCAAGAACCACTAATAGGAGAGCCATAGGTATTGTCAGCAGAGTGATGCAAGTCAGATGGATATGACTGAGATTCTTGCTGCGTTCGGCTTCCATTTGGTGAGAAACTGACAGCAGATGAATTGTAGACAGTATAACTACAATTTGCAGAAGATGACTCCAAAGTGCAATAATGCTCACAGGAATTCCTAACAGAGAAGTGGGATTCATGGTTGCTGTCATTATAGCAGAGAGAGTGATCAATAGTTGGGAATTGAGAGAAGTAGAAGGGCTCGACTTCTTGCTTTACTTGATGGTACAATCCACTGGCCATGACTGAACTTCTGTGTTGCTGGGATGCTTGCATTGATGGATGATTTACATTAACAGCTTCTCTGTCCCTTTATAGGGACTGCAGTAATCAAAGGTTTCAAGCCAAGCAGGATTGTTTGGAAGTTGAAACTAGAATAAAAGTTCCCAAAAGTCAGAATTTAGCATTTTTTGGTGTTTCTTGCTTCTAATAGCACTAACTTAAGAAGCCTTGGATTCTCTTTGATATGCTAAACGCTGCATACAAACAGATGAGAGAAAAATCAAAATCACCTTGATCCTTCATCCTGGACTATCCAGATTGTTTCCATCTGTCTCTTTATGATCTGGAAAAAAAAAAAAGAAAGAAACAAGATCAACAAGATTTCTAATGGCAGCGTAGAGGATACAATATAAGTCCAGATTCAGTACGCCAACAACAATAATATTCACTGTCAATTTGAGGGAACCCAAGTAAACATTTTTTTTTAATATATAAAAATATGTTGTTTGCTCAGTGGGGAAGGAAACACTGACATTCATAAACATACATATTGTTTCAGTTTATACAGATAACAAAAAAAAAGCATCACAATCTGAAAGGTTTAATAATAATTTAACAAATAAAAATCTTTTTCTTCATTTTCCTCTCCCCCTAAATTTAAAGCAAAGAATAAGAAGTGTTGAATATTAAAAAAAATAGTAAAACAGAGTTTTTTTTTTTTCTCTTCGATTTGCCTTAAAATCAACTAAGCAAATTTTGTTAAAGACTTTATTCAACTCAAATCTAGACACTAGCTTCTTAGGTTAACTAATTAAAACTTTATCACCAATAAGGCTCACAAACTTAAAGTATTGAAAATAATAGTAATGCATTTCTATGCACCCTTTCACATTCAGTCAGTGTTATAGACACTGATCCATGAGTCATCTCCTTTTTTGCTCCATAGATTTGGTAAATGGAGATGCAATTTTGACATCTTGAAACCTATATCAAGAAATGAAGAAACACTTCCTCATGGATGGGATTGATAAGAAGGAGAGATGCAATTTTGACATCTTAAAAACTATATCAAGAAATGAAGAAACATTTCCTTATTGATGTGATTGATAAAGATGAGAGAAGCAATATCCTTAATACCACTGGAACAACAGGTTCCTAGACCTTTAACAAGAAGGAGGCATAACATGAAAAAGTCGACTAATCGAACCTACTCTAGCTACTACATTATTTTTCAAGTTGATGGATGGGGGACCTCCCTATAGAACAAATCTTTGATGCAGAAGTAGACAAAATACGTGTATAATTAGCTATTTAGACGACATTGAGCAAAAAAATCAACCATGACAAGTAAAAACCTCAATTCCAGTCTATTGATAAAACGACTGTTGACTTCTACTCCAATCAAAACTTCAACTTATAAGTAGGCATTCTCTCACATAGGCCAAATCTTGCGTCTGAGTTTGACATATTGTCTACGCCATAAATAAATGAAACGCATTTCCAGCACCGGACCTTTACCCATTAGACATCCTCTTCTTGCAGAGGTGAAAGGGCTTGAACAGTTAGAACTAAAAAAGGATTTTTTTCACAAATCTAAAACCTGAAAAACTCACTTGGTTCTTTATAAAAGCTTTTTTTTTTTCTTTCTTTAATTCTGTCATTGGCAACAAGATTTCTGACAAGTATGAACAACCTAGTTAGAAACTAAAACAATTCCTTGCTGAAAAGAGAATCAAGCATCAACCATAAACATAGCCAATACGCACTAAGACTCCCGATTAGAGTCATTTAAATGAAAAAAAATAAAAAAACCAAAACTTTCGACATCAGAAAGAGTAGATTCTTAGAGTAAAAAACAACCAAAGCACAAAAACCTGAAAACCATCTCAGTTTTAGCTGATCCATCGCCAACCCATTTTAAGTAAACTCAATACATTTACCAAAATACTCACCTTTCACCCCCAATGAAGAAACCCAACAACAAGTTTACTCACCAAAAGAAGACTTAACCAGCAAAAGACCAGAATTCCAAGAACAAAAAAAGGCAACCAAGAAGAATAAACCTTAAATTCAATTTGAGAGAAAAAAATTAACCTCCAACATCCAATCAGTGGTTCACCTTATTCTAAGGAATCTTCAGCTTTGCTGAAATTTCGCTTCAGAAAAACAGAGGTTTGAGTTTGGAGAGAGAGAGAGAACGTAGGCAATGACACAGCCAGAGTTCCTTTAACTGGCTTTTTTGAAGAGCCACATGTGCATTATAAATAATTAAAAACTAATGAATATTAAAAGCCCATTGGTCATGGCAAAACTACAGGATTACCATCAAACTCAAAAAATAAAAAAAAATGTCTTGCAAGTTGTACTATTAGTGGAGCTATTTGCACCTCACCTTCTCCTTTCACGTCTCAGTATTATTAATATTTTTTTTTCATATTTCAAATCAAAACATTAATTTATTAAAAAACTCAAACACCCATCCACAAAACCTTTAACCCTTCAAGGTTTAAGTCTTAAATCAAGCCTCAATAACTTATTTAATGTTAGATAATTTAAAATCATAAGTAAATTATTTTATTTTTATTTTTTATTTAATTTTGTGTTTAATTTTGAAAATTTTAAAAATTTAAGTTTAGGAATATAATTTGAAGCAAAAAATTAAATATTCTGAAAATAATTTTGCAAAAATTATTGAAAGTTTTTAAAAATAAATTTATTTTTAGAATCCTTTAAAAGACATTTAGTTAAGAGAAATCTAAAAGTTTTCTTTCAAAATTTAATTATAAGTATCTGATTCATTCATTTAGTTTAGGTTATTCGATTTCTAAAAAAATTTTAAATTCTTAACACTATCAAAAAATTTCAAACATAAAAATTTATCTCTTTATATGATATTTTATAATTTCATATGAAAAATTGCTTGAATTTCATATTTAACTTAAGTAAAAAATTACTTTTATTTATGTTATCTTTTTAAAAAATAATATCTATAAATGAAATTAAAAAATTTTAAATTAATTACAATGTTTGTAGTAAACAAAACATAATAATTGTTTCTTTATATATTTTAATTTCATATTTTTATTATTACATTTTAAAAAAAAATATGCAGTAATTATGACTCTTGTTCAAACTCTACTGCTGCATTTTCTTAAAAAAAAACACAATAATTGATGGTTAGGCAAGTGTAACATTCGAGAGGATACTTGGAGGAAGCTATCTGTTTTGTCAATTCAAGTAACCAGTGTCATGCTATGTCTTAACTTTGATGAAAGACTAAATATCCCTCCAAAAATGATACAATTTTTTTCTTAGATAAATAAAATCTTTTAAATTATATAAAAAAAAATTACGTCACTTTCCACGTTGAGTTATTACTTTCAACAAAATAGTAGTAAAATAATAAAAAAAAATTACTTTCAATAAAATATTAGTAGAATAATAAAAAAAAAACTAATTTCAACAAAATTTGCTTCAGTTGCTTAGTTTGTTGGTTAAGTGTTTTAGTGTTATAAACAGAATGATTAAAAGTGAATAGGATTTATTATTTAAAAAAGATTTATTATTGTGTTTTTTTAAATAAGCACCGTAATTAAGCCAAATTATTTGTTAAAAGATCAATTATTGCATATTTTAAAATAAACGTAATAATAATTCTTCATAAATATATTAAAACATGTTAAATAATCAACTATTGTATTTTTAAGAAAAACATTATAATTGAGTTTTTTTTTTTTTGTATAACTAATTATGACATTTTTTTTTAAAACAACACAATAATTATTAATAGCTATTTTTTAAAAAATATCAATTACTGCAGTTGTATATATAAATACAGTAATTGGTATAATTTGAATTTTATAAAAATATAAAATCACACGTTCCTTTTGAAGATAAAAACATGAATTGTTCTGTTTAATTTTTTTTAACAAAATTTTATGTTTGTTATGTTGTCAATAATATTATAATAAAATATATGATTTAATAAACGCATATTCTCCTTAACCAAATTTAAAAATTTAAAAATAGAATGCCATAAAAATTACACTTTTCCTCAAGAATAACACTTTCTTCTATAATCAAAACTTTGCATGCTCTCCTAAAAGTTTTTGGATATTCACTTCAACAAATCTTTAAAAAATTTTGAAAATATTTTTTTAAATTTCTCAACGATTTTCAGATATTCATTTTGAATTCCTTAAAAAAAAATTTTAAAAATGGATTTTTAGTACACAATAACCTTCTACTACTAATAGAGATTAAATAACTTTTTTGTACATAAGAATTGACCTTATTATGCCATCAACAAAGTAAAAAATCTATCAATAGAAACCTCTAATCTTTTTACCACCAGATATTACCTGTTCAATAATATTTTTAACATTTTTTGTAATTTTGACAAATGTACAAATGAGAAGAATCGTTAAGTGTGAGGAGATATTCATGCAAATTCACTATTGCATCATGTGTGATGTAGCGTGATTGCCTTATTTCATATGACAGTTGCCACTTACACGAACGCTCTTAATAATTAACAATTTTTTTTCAAATGCACCTTTGTTATAATTGAAAAAATGTTGTGAATACTATTAAACGAATAGTGTTTGGTTGAAAAATTAAAGATTTTTATTGTCAAATTTAAATATCTTATATGTTGAAGATATCATTATAAACTCATTTGGAGGTCGCAATAAGAGATATTTGATATTCTCATGCCAGACATTGATCAAGAGATCATAACAAAGAAATTGAAGTAAAAAATTACTTTTGAAAATAAATTTTTGGATAATTGCAATATTTTCCTAAATTGAATTTATGATATAGTTAAAAAAATTTGAAAATGAATTTTTGATATATTGAAAAAGTTTTCAAAAATTCAGTTCTAATAACTTAATGAAAAGAGGTGTAAAAAACAAAAAAAAATTACTTAATCGGTATTGAAGTTAATTTTTTCAGATGTATTGAGAGTTTTTTTGGGTGCAAATAAGCACTCTTATACTATTATTTGACTTTCTAAAATGATTATAATACCCTTGTTAAATACACATACGCTCGGTTGCATCCTCCTAGGTGATGGTGTCTTACAATGATACTATCTTTTCTATTTATATATATATATATATATATATATATATATATATAGCCAATCAAATAAGGATAAGGTTGCTACTCAGCCGAGATTTTGGTGCTGATTGTTATTGCACTTAATTACTTTATTTAAAGGCTAATGTGGCTTATAATTATGATTAAATAAATTATCATCTTGCTTAAATTATTGAATTGCTATCACTTAGATATCAACTTGATGATAGTTTGGGTGTAATAACTGAGCTGGCATTATATTAATTTCATTCATAATGCAAGATCTCGAGTTAAATTTGCTAAATCTTTTTAATAGAAATAAATTATTTAGAGAAAAAAAAAACATTATATGTGCTCATTTATTCTAATTTATAAAGATTTAAAAAATTTTCACTTAAATTCTTAAAATAAGATAAAAAAATATGAATACATTTTTTGAGTGTGAATATAATTAAATCGATTCAATTTGGACATGAAGTCATGCAATAAATGACTTGAACATAATGAAATAGTGTGATGGTATCTAAAATTTTTTTAATTTAAAGAGAAAACACAAAAAAAAGTCTTTAAAAAAATAGTAATTTGAATAGTCTAAATGTGAAATATTAAATATCCATCTTTAAAGTTTGTATTATTTACACATGTTATTGTGATTTCAATTTTCAATCTTGTTTTGAGTTTATTGTTGATCTATATTTTTATTAAGATTAATATCATGAATGATTTTTAAATAATAAAATATTTAATATAGTACTTAAATTTTAAAAATTTTTAATATAATATTTAAATTATAAATTTATTAACTAATATGATATTTAAAATATTATTTATACATCACGTGTCATTATTTAAAATTAATCAAAATAAAAATAATTATTTATTAATTAATAAATTTATAATTTAAATATCATATTAAATATTTTATTAATTTAAAAATCATTTATGACATCAACGCTATTTCATTAAAAAAAATCACATCTTTCATAAGATGCTGTTTCTAGTCTTTAGACAAACCCACAAACAAGCCTCGCATTTTTTCCTTTTGTTATTCCTTCTCCACCCCACATAGGAGTAGGAAGTTTTGCAAGGTAGAAAATTGCTTGCTAGGGAGGAGAGGAGTGAGCCAATGAGGAGGGTTTGGTGCTTTTTTTCCATTACTTCGAGTACTATTATCCACTGACGTGTTCTTGTTTCCCCCTTTAAGAAACAAAACCAAAATCCTAGGTGGGATAAGTACGACTTTCTTCAAATAAATTTGGTTGAATCATATGACCCAAATGAGGGAAACTCATTTGTGTGGCTTTCAATCTTTATTGCAATTTGGGAATCGGGACCATTTTCGAAAGAGAAAGGAAGCTAATTTTATCATCTCTTTCTTTTTCTTTTTTTTTAATCACTAAGAACAACTTATATCAATAATCAAATGGACGTCTCAACGTTATTAGATTTTAAATTTATGTTCAATCATATCTTGATTTTTTTAATTTATATTAATTTTCTTTTATTATATTTTAATTTGTATTTCTTTTCATAGGTGAAAATTCATAAATCTTTTTTTCTCAAAGATTCAAATGAAAATCTTTTGTGATTAAGATTCTCTTTGATGACTGTGTATAATAGTTTTTTTTTATTTTTTATCAGTCAATTGATTATATTTTTAATAATTTATTCAATAAATAATGTATAATGTCTACTTATATAAGTATTCTTTTCTAAAACGTTGAAAATGAAGTCCGATAATCAATTAAAGTTTAATTGAACAATACTGTTACGGCAAAAAATATTCAGGTTAAAAAAATATGTTTTAAAAATATGGTTAAAAATTTTAAATATTTAATATTACCGTAAAAAAATTTTTGAGTAATCGAAATATTTAAATATATATAAAATATTAAAATATTAAAAACATAGATTAATATTATAATTTTTTATTTCAAAAGGAAATTTTTACGAAAAACATCTCTTGAGTAACTTTTCGATTTACATTACAAAATCAGATTT